CTTTTCTTTCTTTACTTTCTTCTTTTCACGCGCGCAAGCGAGACGCAGTGACGTTGGACTTACGCCGTACATCACACAGACGCCCACGAGCAGGTGCAGACCGAGTTCATGTCGGCGGTGTCGTACATCAACACGCTCAACGAGGAGGAGAAGGAGCGCGTGAGGAGGATCAGGCAGGAGCGCACCGAGCTCGCCCGCGAGGAGAGGCACCGCAACCTCGAGAGCCTTCACAACCTCGAGCTGGTACCTTCCGCCTCTCTCTTCTTCTTCGTTTTGTTGCTCTTCGTTCTTTTCGTGGTTCGCTTCGCTTTCGTTCTTGGCGCTCGGACCTAAACTGACGCTCTTCTCGTCGCGTTGCGTTGCATTGCGCAGACCAAGTACCTGGAGGAGTCGGAGCGGGCGCGCCGCATCATGCAGGACGCGCTGCTGGACTTTGACGAGGAGATCTACCGCGAGGCGGTGCGCCGCCAGACCTGGGTCGAGGAGGAGAAGGAGCGTCGTCGCCGCATCCTGGCCGACGTCAAGCTCGACTTCCACGAGGCCATCCTGTCGGAGATCGACCGCCAGGAGACCCGCGCGCTCGAGGAGGAGGAGCGCAAGCGACGCGTGCGCGAGGGCGACGACGAGATCGACCCCACCACGGCCGCTGCGCATGAGCTGGTGCAGGACCAGTTCATGGGCGTGGTCCATCGCAAGGAGGCCGCCGCGGCCGAGGAGGAGGAGCGCGCTCGCCGCATCAATGCCGAGTTCGACGAGGAGAAGATCCACAGCGAGATCAACCGCAGAGTCACCTGGTACCACCTTCACTACGCCCCACACGCACACGCACGCACACACCGCACACACCGCACACACCACACACGACACCGTTGTGACTGGCGTGTGCGGTGTGGTTGGTAGGATTCTCGAGGAGGAGGAGAGGAGGCGGCGACTGGTTGAGGAGGCGATCCACAAGGTGCAGGACGACGTGATGCGAGAGCTGCATCTGCACGAGGTCATCAACCTCGAGGAGAAGGAGCGACAGCGCCGCATGCGCGCGGAGAAGACTCACTCGGAGGACGCTGTGCACCACTCGGACGCCAAGGAGGAGGTCCAGCAGGAGCTGCTGTCCAAGTTCGACACGCTCAAGGTGGCCCAGCTCGAGGAGGAGGAGCGCGCCCGGCGCGTCGACGAGGAGGCCCACCGCCAGAAGCGCGCGGCCGACAACGCCGCGTTCGACAGCAAGGCCAACCTCATCGTCACCAAGCGCCTCGAAGAGGACGAGCGCCAGAGGAGGATCGCCGAGAACTTGGTACCGCACTCACATCACCGCATAAATACGACACACACGACACACACGACACACACCACACACACGACACACGAGCGATTGCTTACCTGGTGACATTATTGCATGGAACAGGCGGACGAGTTCGACCAGGCGCTGCAGAGCGAGCTGGACAGGAGGAGGGCGTGGATGCTGGAGGAGGAGGAGAAGAGGCGGCGGGTGAAGGAGGGCCCGCACTCGGAAGACGCCGCGCACGCCCGGATCCTCAAGGACGTCGTGCAGCACGTCAACGCCAAGGTGGCTCACCAGGTCAAGGCCAAGACCCAGCCCGACAACTAAACCAACCCTCCGCCAGCCACACAACAAACTCTTGTGCTCAACCAACTGGTGGGCACACAAACCTGTAATTATTTGGTTTTTTTTCAATTTTAAATCGAAATCCCCAATCACAACCCAGTTGCAACACTTAACACTTACTTCATTGCCATTGGAGGAACAAGTTAACTCGCCAACGTACCCAAACCCACCAGAAATTCTCCTGGGCGAAGCCCGCGCAGTGATCCACCACAGCTCTCGTCGCCGAGTGCCCAACATTGCCTGGGCGCCGCATGGCGATCACTTCAGTGGCCCTTTACCAGCGGTGCGTCCACTTCGTCATCGATGGAGGTGAGGTCTTGCAACAGCCGAAGTTTGGGTTGTGTTTTCTTTGGATTGTCGACCTCTTTTGTCCAGGAAGGTCTCGAAGCGGCGGTCCCGCCACATAAAAAGGGCGGCGTCACGCCCCGGCGGCTGCAATAACCCAACAACCGACCCATCACCACTACCACACCAGCCACAAGGCTCAACCGCACACTCCTCTTCCTCCACAGGTACACTAAAGCGTTAGCTTTGCACCAGAGCGTGTGCGGTTTTACTGGACACACTGCGCACACAGTGACTAACGCACACATGGGAACACGACACGACACGCAGACAATACCTCAGACATGTCGAACCTGAACCGCAACAATGTGACCGGCACCGGCGCCAACGTCATTCCCCCGCCCGTGGTGCACAAGACCGGCGTGCCAGTCGTGCCGGTGGCCGCGGCTCCCGTGGTGCCCATGCAGAACCTGTCGCTGGGCGAGAAGGTGGTCCACGAGCCCGAGAGGATCATCGAGCACAAGCCCATCCTCGAGAGGGAGGTCCTCAACGAGCCCATGCTCGAGGTCAAGCGCGAGCACCACATCCAGCCCATCATCCACGAGACCGAGCACCGCGTCCAGCCCATCATCAAGACCGAGGCCACCACCGAGCGACCCATCATCGAACAGGTTCGCCTCAATCCTCTCTGCAACCACCATCTCTCTCTCTCTTGCCAAACGAGTCTCTACTTGCGCGTTCTGGTTGGTCGGAATTGCTAACTTGACGAAATTTCGTCGAACAGGACAGGAATGTTATGATGCCGCCTGTGGTCGAGCGGGCCGCGATGCCGCCGGGCCTGGAGGCCGTCGAGCGCGTCGCGCCCGAGGGGGTCATCCACGCGCCCAAGATCGATCGCGAGATCGTCAACGAGCGGCCAGTCGAGGTGCGCCGCGAGCACCACATCCAGCCCATTGTCCACGAGCGTGAGCACCGCATCCAGCCCATCATCAAGACCGAGGCCACCACCGAGCGGCCCATCATCGAACAGGACAGGAATGTCATGCACGCGCCCATCGTCGAGCGCGCCGCGATGCCGGCGGGCCTGGAGGCCGTCGAGCGCGTCGCGCCCGAGGGCGTCATCCACGCGCCCAGGATCGCCCGCGACGTGGTGGTCGAGCACCCGGTCGAGGTGCGCCACGAGCGCCACATCCAGCCCATCATCCACGAGCGCGAGCACCACATCCAGCCCATCGTCAAGACCGAGGTGACGGCCCAGCAGACCCACCTCAAGACCGACAGGAATGTCATGCTCGAGCCGATCGTCGAGCGCGCGGCGCTGCCTGCCGGGCTCGAGGCCGTGGAGCGGGCCGGACCCGAGGGCGTGATCCACCGGCCCAAGCTCGAGAAGGAGGTCATCGTCGAGCACCCGGTCGAGGTGCGCCACGAGCGCCACATCCAGCCCATCATCCACGAGCGCGAGCACCACATCCAGCCCGTCATCAAGACCGAAGTTACGGCCGAGCAGACCGTCATCGAGCGCGAGAACACCGTCATGCTCCCGCCCATCATCGAGCCCACGGTCATGGTCGGCACCGCCACCCGCGCCGCGCCCGTCATGACCCAGCCGACCGTGGTCGCCACCACCACCCTGCCCCGCACCGCCGGCCTCGACACCGCGCAGCCACTGGCCGCCGCCACCACGGCCACCACCACCCTGCCCCGCACCGCCGTCGGTGGCTTGGACAGCGAGCAGCGCCTGACCTCGGGCGGCGCGGCGCCGATGCTGTCGGGTGAGCGCGAGGTCTACAACCGGGACCTGGGCGCGACAGGCACGACCGCCACTGGCGGCGAGACCCACGTGGGCATCGGCCAGAAGATCAAGGGCGCGATGAAGGAGGTTCAGGGCACCATCACCCGCAACTCGGCCATGAAGGAGGAGGGCAGGAAGCTCATGCACGGCGAGACCACCACCTCCACCACCGGCTCCCGCACCGGCCTTTGAAGCTTGCGACGGCCACCGAAGCCAGCTTGAGCTTTTCTCTCTCGGCGTTTCTCTCCATCTTCTCCCGCGGTGTTCTTATCTCTTCTCCGGCGCACTCTATGCATTGGGCCATTTTTTTTAACTCTGCCTACCTACAAACCACGTTTGTTTCTTTGACATCCACTCTTTGCACCTTCATCGGCTTCTTTCTTGGCCGAGTGTTCGCGCCGACGACTTGGCTTCGCGCTATTGTCACAGTGTGTAAGGGGGGGTACCCGCCCCACGGGCGAAGTGGCCTTCTGGGTGGGTTTGGTTGGCGTGTGGCCTTTCGGTGTGGATCCCAGGTGGCCTATGGCGACAGGGGAAGCCAAGCCACGCGTGCCATAGATGCCGCCGAAAGAGCGAACGAGGAACGCGCTTCATTTTCTTTCATCGGAGCTAAACCAACTGTCTCCGAAGCGTTATTTATCAACTCGAGCACGGCCCAAAGTACACACAAGTAAGTGTGAGTTCTTCCACGCCAACGGACAAACGCGCAACACGAGACCTCCTCTCTGCTATCTCCCTATTCACTCATACATCTCTCATCTAAACTCCTCACGTAAGAGAAGAAGAAGCCATGGCCTCCAAGCGACCATACCGCCTTTACGTGTACAAGAAGAACGAGCAACCGACGGGACAGGGCTGGGAGTGGTGGGGCAAGCACAAGTTCGAGACGGCGACGGAGGCCGACGCGAAGATGGACGTCTTCGATTTCGTCGTCCTCGTGGAGAAACAGAAGCGGGCTAAGGGCGACCCTGGCCGCAAGATCATCCTCGATTGGCGCTGCATGGAGAAGCCCCTCGTCGACCGCTTCCAGTCGGCCGTCGTCTTCAAGTTCAGACGCGAATGAAGCCCCTCTGTCCTCCGCTTGCCATCTTCTACCATCTAACGGTCGCCATTCATTTCCATTACACGCCCAATCAGTGCGATTTGGTGAGTATTGGGGCCAACCATGCGCTACCCTAACTTCATCATCATCTACATGTCCAAACCTTTTCAGATCTCACTACGATCTTTGTAAATTTACAATACAACCAATCATCCACAGCCCACAGAATAATGATGGTTGCTAAGGGAGCAGTAACAATAAACCAACACAACCCATATTATCACTGTGCTACAACCAATATATCACCACTCCTCACCCTCCCATATGCCAAACACTATGTTCCTGGAGATGGTAGATGAAGGATAGAATCTGCAAAGATGATGTGGAAAGATACTTTATAGTTAAGCAGGAAAGGGCTGCATGAACACAAGGAACCACAGGTGGAAGGGAGTAAATGAATGAATGAAGTAATAACAAAAAGAGAGAAAGATAGGCAGTGCATGCAGTTCTAGTGCAGAAGGGAAAAAGCTAGATGAGCCCGCGGGGACTTGAACCCCGAATCTCTTGATCCGAAGTCAAGCGCCTTTCTATTAGGCCACGGACCCATTCGTGCTCTTTGAAAAACAATCTTGTAATTTTCCCTCTTCCATTTGTGCAGCTCACATCATAAGCACTCTTTCTATGAGGCCATTAACCCATACAGTAAGGATATCTGAGTGCTCAGACATGTACAAGCTGATCAGCTTTGTCCAAAATGTGGGCATCTGATTGAACTGAAATGGTAGACATAGCTTTACATTGCAAGATATTGGAACCAGATGTTTATTCTAAAACATTAGGACCTATGTCACCAACACTTGCCCAGAGCAGCCACCACTGGCACCAACTTGGCCAGTTACTGAGTGCATCTATAATCAGAACATCTTTGTTGGTTTTGTTGTGATGGTCAGCAGGAGGTGAAGGAGCTGTGGAAGATGGCCAACACAAATTGTTTGAAGTGGCCAAATTGGATGTGTTAACTGTGGGGTGGGGCAAAAGTGGATGCATGAAGTTGCAGTGCCGATGAAGTTCTAGTTTCAGGCGATACAGCAAGTTGCAGAAGGGAAAAAGCTGGATGAGCCCGCGGGGACTTGAACCCCGAATCTCTTGATCCGAAGTCAAGCGCCTTTCTATTAGGCCACGAACCCATTCGTGATGAATCGTGGATGCCCGTAGTTTTGCACATAAAACGTTTGTGTTGGCTAAAGTACCATTTTATTTATTTATTTATTTATTTGAACGACAAAGGGCGGCAATGAAAAGGAACAGAAGGGAGAGGGACAGGAGAGCTCCTTCTCCTGGGGATGAAGAGGACAGGTCACCGCCCTCAACGAAAATTACAACTGCTTTGCGTGGTTCGAAGCCGACGGTGGTGGCGGACGTGCGCGTGGCTGCCCTTGGCCCTGACCCGCCTCCCCACCTCTCTGTCCCCGCTGCCGGCGCAGGTACCGTGCCACGCCCCCCCCCTCTAACATTTCTTCTTTTCTTTTTCTTCTAAACAATCCCACGCAGCACTCTTTGCGGACATCCAGGACTGGGCGCGAGAAGAGGACGAAGAGCCGCAGACCTATGCCGACTGGCTCCACATGCAACGCTACGCTCCGTACGCCCCCCCCCCCCGCACCACAAGGGGTGGTGCGCTCACATTTCTCTCCGCGCGCCTGGCTTGGCTTGGCTGGGTCGTGGTGCGTGCTACGCACACAGGGACAGCAAGAGGGACACCATCTACCTGCTGCCGCTCGGCATCAACGAAGCCGCCACGACAACAGAGAGCGATGACGGCGATGACGGAAAGCGAAAGAGAAAGCGGAAAAGAATGAAGAAGGAGGTGGTGGAGGAGGAGGAATACGATCTGCAGTTTGACGAGGTGCACCCGGCGGCGCCCACGATCGCGCAGCTGGCCGAGTTCGTGGCGGCCTTCTTCCACGGGCTCAAGGTCAAGATCATGCGGCCGCTCACCTTCGTCAAGGAGAAAGGTAGCCCCACACCCAACTCGCATGGTGCAAGGCGAAAGCTGGTTGGTTGGTTGGTTCACACTCGAACCGAATCTGGGCTGGGCTGGGCTGGGCTGGGTGGGTGGCAGGTGGTGTGTACATTCTGTCGCCGCCCTACCAGTACCCGATCAAGACCAAGAAGTCCAAGACCTTCGGCAACGAGCGCCTCTACGACATGGACATCCTCAGGCATAATATACCACGATGATGTGCACCGCCGTGCATGCTTTGTGTGTCGTGTCGTGCGTGTCGTGTCGTGTCGTGTGTCGTGTGTCGTGTGTCGTGTGTCGTGCGTGTCGTGTGCACAGTATGAAGATGACAGGAGCGGGGTACCACCAGGGTAATCAAGGAGTTGCTGCCCAAGGACGGGTTCTGCGTGGTGGCCATCACCGCCCGCGACATCTACGAACACCCGCGAGACGACGGAGAGATCGTACTGGGACGGGGCACGGGCGATCGGGTCGGCGTGATCAGGTTCGACCCAGCACCTCCCCTTCTTGTTGTGTGTGTGTGTGTGTGTGTGCGTGCGTGCGTGTGTGTGTGCGTGTGTGTGTGGTGTGTGTGTGTGTGTGTGCTCTGGGGCTGAGGCTGACCTTCTCTCTGTCTCTCTCTCTCTCTCTCCACCGACCCAAGCTTGTACCACCACGGCAAGCCGCAGGGAGGGGCGTCAAACAAAAGAAAGAAGAGGTGCGCCTTACCACCACCCCGCGCCAAAGACGATGACGCGCTCACTCAAGAGTGTTTTCTTTTTCGTGTTTTTGTTTGGTAGTGTGAGTTACAGCGCAGAGGAGAAACGCATGTGGAAGCTGAGGACGTGTAAGACCATGGCCCACGTACGCGCCGACCTCTCTTGTGCACATCAGTTTCTGTGCTCACCCACAACAATAACAACCCCGAACAACGACGACGACGACGACGACGACGACGACGACGACGACGACGACGAATAGGAGATGTGCCACATCTTTGGCATCGACCATTGCGTGTACTACACCTGCCTGATGAATGCCCACGCGTCACCCGATGGCCAAGACCACGCCGAGGTGGGTGCTTAGATTTGATGCCCAATCGGGCCTATTCTCACCTTTCCACTCCCCTTCACTGCTGACCAACCAATGCAACCCACCTAGGCACTGCATCTGTGTCCGATCGACCTACGTAAGCTCAGCCACTGGTACCGCACCTCTCACTCTCACTCGGCCTTGGCGGCCAACTCACCCCGAACCATCTCAGCATCGGGTTCGACGTTGGGGAGCGCTACCGGCAGCTGGCGACGTACTACGACAAGGAAAGGTGGAAGGAGGAGGCCGAGTGGATGGAGCGACGAATCAAGCACCTGCCCACTCCTCCGGCAACGATCGCCACCACTTCTGATACTGTGGCGCTTCCACCGTCCGCACCGAGTGCTCCACCGGCCCGAGGCCAGGAGGCCAAAGAAGAAGACGAAGAAGCGCGCGGCTGCGATATCGCAGACTCAACGTGCCGGGCTGGCCCGTGAGCAAGATTGATGACATCTGTGCTCTCCAACAGGTCGCTTGACAGCGCTCCATCTGCAGGCAATACTCAACAGCCTCCTGATCACATGTCTTTTTCGTCACGTGCACAAAAAGAGGGGCGCGAGATCTCACCGAACACTGTTGTGGAGTTCGGATTGGTCCAAAATATCAAGTTTGTTTTTCATAAAGCACGAATGGGTCCGTGGCCTAATAGAAAGGCGCTTGACTTCGGATCAAGAGATTCGGGGTTCAAGTCCCCGCGGGCTCATCCAGCTTTTTTCCTTCTGCACTAGAGCTTCTTGTATCAACTGAAACTAGAACTTCATGCACTGCCTATCTTCCAGATATTTGCCACTACTTCGAGCTAATGCTGTCTTTTCTCTCTTTTCGTTGCTTCATCCATTTGCTGCTCTTCCTTCCCCTCCTGTTCATCTTGCCTTCTCCCTCTATGGGGCAAGCATTTTTGAGCCAACCAAAGGGGCGCCTGTGTTTGTTTTGGGCTACTGGCACATGTCCAGCAAATCCTCAGCGCTCACCGATCGCCGCTTGGCCGCACGCGCCGCAGCACTACTCAGGGGAGCCTGCTGGGGCTTGCGCGGCGAGCCCGGCTGGCCATCACCGAGCCGCACCTTCTTGGCCACGGGCTTCGCGAACCGGGCCTGCATCTGGTCCACGCCGTCGTCGCCATCGCCATCGTTGTTGCTGCTGTTGGGTCGCTTCCTGCTGCCCACGAGCGGCGAGTGCTGGGCCATCAGCTTCTCCTTGAACGACGTGGATGCCGCTGCGTTCTGCTGTGCTGCGTCTCCCACCCTCGCGCTCTGCTGTGGTCGATGCCTGGCGGGGCATGCAACCACAATGACAACAACAACAACGCAGAAGATGATAACGATGAGCGGGTCAGGCGCGGGGTGCGTGAACAGTGAAGAAGAGCTGTTGTGGGGGGTTCAGAGTGTTCCGCACCGCTTTCGCACCGACGTACGGATGAGGTACTCGCCGTCATCGCCCAACAGCGAGAGCGAAGGAGTAGGTCCTGTCAACGAGAAGGTTCCTGCGCAGACACACCGTGGTGGTCATTGAGGTCAATATAAGAGCATCGTCCAGGAAGGCCTTCTTGCGAAGTGGAGTGCCTTTGTGTGATGTTTCCTCATCCGCGTCGTCCTCTGGTCCGGAAGTCCTGCGCTCTTGAGCGGTGTTGGCGTTGCGTGTTGATCCGGCAGTTGATGGCGGCCACCGCGAGTCCTCCTCGTCGCTCAAGCTGACCACCCCGCTTCGTCCTGTCATCATCACCACCACCACCATCACCATTGCACAACACAGCGCCCGTCAATATTAGACGTTGTTGTGACCAGCTGGTAAGCTGAACGGGGAAAGGCCTTGCCTTGTCGCTTCAGCTCGCGGATCTTCTTTTTCTTTTCGTTGAGGATCTGCACAAACTGTACTCCAGTGGGGTGAGCTGTGCCGTGCCGTGTCGCGTTTGAGCGCAGCTTGCAGTTGTCCGGACCTTGTTGTAGAGGTCCGACTCCATGGCCTTCTTTTCTTCAACCAGCACGTTGAGCTGGGCCAGGGCGCTGTCCCTCTGAGTGAACAGGGCCTCGTTCTGTGTGCGCAGCTCCTTGTTACTCCTCTGTGTGTCGTGCGTAACACAAACACGGGGGCGTGAGTCGAATGGGGCCTGGCCTTCAGGTGTCCCTCATAGGCCTGCGTGAGAGGTATACCTCGAGTACGGTCTGTCGATCAATGAGGCTGTCGAGGCACTGCTGCACCATGCCGCGACCGTCCTTCATTAGCGTGAGCGGCAGCGTGCCTTTGACCTGAGCGCACGTAGTCGAGTCATCATCAATAAATGGCTGCTTCATCATGTAGCGCATGATCTACGTCACCAAATCCTTACATCCTACATACCGAGAAGCCAACTTGTGATGACTCTTGGCCGAGCTTGATGCGCCACGTCAACTACATGAAAGAGAAAGAAGCCAATGAGTTTTTTCCTGATGTACGCGTAGTGGCTGGGCGGGTGGGGCGAGCGTACGTGGAGCTCGCTGGGCGATGGCTGGCTGAGGCGGTAGGAGAAGTGTTTCTTGGTGATGTCCTGCACGGTGAGAGCCCGCTTCGTGAGCTGCATGTACTCGTCGAGCTCCATCTCCGCGGGCTTGAGCGAGTTCTCTATGAACTCCTCCTCCGCTGGAAGGGGTCAACAAGAAGCGAACCACAAGGTCAGGACTTGAGTAGCTGGTGCATCAAAGAGGCGGGGTGCACTTACCTTGTCCATGCCACACCTTACATCCATCTGTAATGTGGATTTGGAACTCGGTGTCCCGCCAACTGCGATTTTGTAGAGGAACCTGAGGCGAAGTACGTGGTGACGTGGGTACTAAGGAAGGGCCAGAGTCTTACCTCGTTCGAAAATAGAAATGTCTGCCACCGAGCACGAAGCGAGTGAGGTGGCAATCTTCCATCTTTCCTGTAAATCAATTGGAGCTCTGCAACTTGAATTCCCAACCAAACGAAGAGCATTGCGGTTTTGGCGGGAACAGCTAGTCGACAGTAATGATCAACATTCCTTCTTCCTGTCCCTAGTGAGGTGGCTGGTGGTCGTGCGCCCATAGACTTGATAGAGCTTGTACAGCTGCTGGGCGTGGGACCAGCCACGCGGCCTTCACAAGCTCGGCAGCAGCTCAGATTTGGTGGGTGGGCGTTGAGTCCACCCATGAGACACGCTGCATCACGGCACACACCATCACCAGAACATGTGGGACACACGCCGATTGATGTGCTTTCGGACTGACCTTCTGAGTCACTGCGCCATCAACACTGTTTAGTAGTGATTGGGTTGTTGTTGAAGAACATCGCCAGGCCACTACTCGAGCTGCGCGAGCTCCTTATCGCTGGGCAGGCGGAGGGGCTGCACCACCACGCGCTTGGTCGACCAGCTCACGTAGGGCTTCAACTGCACTCAGCACAGAGAGCGGGGTAGCGAGTGCTTGAGTGAGCACAAAGCTGAACAGAGGAAAGGAGAGAATGGGAGGGTACAGGGCAGTCGGTGAGATCAGGAATAACGTAGACGGGCACCTTGGCCGGCACTACCCTGTAGCCACCTGGAAGATGGCGAATTGAATAAATGAGCAATCGGATTAATGATTAAAATTCAACGCTCGTCGGCGGCGGCAGCATTGGAGGGGTACGTGCCTTTCTTGGTGTGGAAGCCGAGAGAGCGGCAGCCAACGCCCTTGTACCATCCTCGGGGCGTCATCTTGGGGGTAAGCCGACCCTTGCCTTGGTTTGCGGAGACCTTGCCTCGGGTGAAGCCGGTCGTTCCGACCGTTGTGCGAGCACCCAGCCCGGTCCTTCGCGTCAAGCTTCCGAACACGCCCATCTCTCCTTCAGCAACGAATCTGTCTATCAATTGTTAATTCCCCTGGTCTGGAAAATAATCTTTTCTCTCTCTGCTTCTTGTGCACTCCCAAAAGACACGTGTGAGTCAGCCCCACGTTTCGAGGAAGGACACAAGCGCCACACCCGGAGAAGGTGACACAGCTGCAGATCGTGTTGCATCTTTTCCGAGAGACTTGGTACATCGCCACAACACTCATCGATGCGTTTTTCCTTCATGTTTCTGCGCAACAAAAGATGACGATTTTTCATCTTTTGAAGCTAACTTAAGACGATATATATTTGGCGATATGGCTCAATCGATTGATTTCCTTGTGGCATCAGTGGTCGTTGAATTAATCTCGAGATTGATTGTGTACCCCAGAGATGAAGCGAGAATCGGAAGATGAGCAGGGTGTGCGACGGCGACAGATCCCCATGAGCACCTCCAGCCCTGATGAAACCTCCTACAGCATAGTGGGCAAGGGCCGATCCGTCTCCACGTCCTCACTCGGTACGCTACGCGGGAGATTCTGCAATTCCTATTCAACGAGGAAGAGATTTTTTTTTTTTTTTTTGTAGCGCCTGCTCAGCGCACTCACCATTATGCTGTGCCGCACGACACGCACATGACACAACAGCTGATGGCGATGCGGACAATGGCTTGTTGTCACCACGAAAACTGAAGAACAAGCGCAAGCGCCACCACTCGATGCTCAAGCTTTGGCCGCACGAGCCAGAACCGTTCCTCGAGGAGACCGGCAGCCCTTTCTCCTTCCTCTACAAATCCCACGTTCGTACCCCCCAATCAGTCGCTCGCGCGCTGTCAGACTCACAGCCGCACGCTGCTCACCCCCACCGTGCCTGTACAGACGATCACCGGTCTCGCCATCACCGGACTATTTATTCGTACGCACCACTTCCCTTGTTGCTGTTGTTGTCGGCGTCGCCGCTGATGCTATGCTGCGCTATACGATCTCTTTTACTGACCTCTTATGTATGCAGTCTACCACTCGTTCTTGCGCGCTCCCTCCCCCGATCCCCTGGACGAAATCAAAGTGTACGCTCTCTCGCTGTGCATTCCAGCCATGTCGCGGGACTAACAACGCCAATTTGCGGCTCTTGGCGGTGCTGCTGTGTAGTGGCTTGGCCATCATGACGGTGGTGTTTTTGCTCTACTGCATGATCCAGCTTCGCGACGGTCTGCTTCTACGACCACACCCGGCGGTCTGGTGCGTTTGAGCGACCACTGCATCACCATGTTGTTGTTGTTGTTGTTGTTGTTGTTGTTGTTGTTGTTGTTTGGTACGAGGTCTGACTTATTTGGGCCATCGTACGATCATAGGCGTGTGGTACACGGAGCGGGTCTGTTGTACCTCCTCGCGCTGGTGTTCATCCTGGTCCAGAGCGAAAACAACGCCCGCCAGTTCCTCACCTTCTTCTATCCCGACCTCGGCAAGCCACCAGCCGCAAACGACCTGATCTATGCCTCGGGTAACTTGAATCATTAATCAACCAATCCATCCACCGAAGCTCAACCTCTTCTTCGGCCGTACTCCCGCAGTTTCTAAACCATTTCGGAAACGTTTCGTTCTTCTTTGCAGATTGTCGTATCTACACTCCCGAGCAGGAGAATCATTTCGCGCATGTCACCTCCGCGTGGCACGACATCTTCATCGGTACCCCTCCTACCTCTCGCTGGCATCATCATCAACTCCGGTCGCTGATCTGGCATGCCTCCGACCTCGTCTGCGACAGCGGCGCACGCCTTCGGGTGGTGGGCCAAGATGGTGATGCTGCGCGACTGGCGTCTCTGCTGGATCCTGGGGATCCTGTGGGAGCTCCTCGAGTACTCGTTCCAGCACATCCTCCCCAACTTCCACGAGTGCTGGTGGGGTGCGTGTGCTCCTCTCCTATTTTTTTTTTATTATTATTATTATTTGTTATTGTTCTATTATTTTTTTCTTTTTTAAATGGTAGATAATGGCTTTATTGTGACTAATTGGTTGGTTGTCGTAACTGCGCAGATCACTGGCTCATCGACCTGATGATCTGCAACCTCGCGGGCATGGTGCTCGGGATGGTCACTTGCCGATACCTCGAGTGTACGTTACAGTCCCACCACCGCCAGCACACGTGGATGCGTCTTGTGTGCTGCGTCGCTAAACACAACAGCCTTCGAAACGCCGACACGTCACCATATCAAAATTCTAGTCCGTCGATACGACTGGACGGGTGCGTCGGAGGGCCCGGCAGGCATCAGGACGCATCTCAAGCGCGCGCTGGCCCAGTTCTCGCCCATGCGATGGACCAGGTACGCCGAGCAGACGCTCGGGCAATTTCTTGGCCTCCGGGACTCCCGAGTCACTCATCATCTTCTTCTTCTTCTCAGGTATGAATGGTCCGTGTTTTCTTCGGTCCGTCGGTTCTTCATGGTGGCGATGATGATCGTCATGATGGAGGTCGTCGAGATGAACGGCTTCTTCCTCAAATATGTTTTGTGGTATTTATCCCTCCTCTCTCCTTTTTTCGCGATGGTGTTGCGTTCTGGTCTCGGACTGACTAACGAGTCGCGCCTACTGTGCAGGATTCCGCCGGCCAACCCGCTGAACACGATGCGTCTGCTGCTGTTCTGTCTTCTCTCCATTCCTGGTACGCGCGTGCGCCCACCACCAGCGACTCACTGTTTCGCGTGCGTAAGCAGCCCAATTGCAAAGTCTCATCGCGTGACACGCGTCCCACGTCGGCAGCCCTGCACGAATGGTACGCCTACGTGGTGGCCTTTGAGAAGACGCAGACCCGCCGACTCGGCAAGGACATGTGGCTGGTCATCGCCATCATGGGCGTCGAGGTACGCGCGACCCACCCAACTGAACTCCCCCGGCCCTCTACTCTATCGCGCCGCACGTATTCGGCTCACATACGTGTGTGTGTGTGTTTGCGTGCGTGCGTGTGTGTGCGTGTGTGTGTGGTGCGCACCTTGCTGTTTGGTCGATCGACAGTTTGCCGTGTGCATGAAGTTTGGGTGGCGTTTGTTCATGGTGGTGCCGCCGACGCCGGTCATCTGGGGTTGGACCCTGTCGGCCATCCTCCTGCTCATTTGGGTGGCGCTCCGCTTCGGCATGGCGCCCACACTCCAGTACGCCCCCACTCCCCAAGGCCTCGCCCATCAAACCACCATCCAACCAACCTCCACTCTTCTTCTTCTTCTTCAGGAGCGGCAAGAAGAAGAGTCCTTGGCGAGTGACTGGCATGAACCTGTTGTTCGTGGTACGTGTCTTTCTTTCTTGCACACCTTGACAAAGGTCTGCGTGGCAGCTGACGTGTCTTTTCCTCTCCTGTTTATGTGTAGGTTGCGCTGCTGCCGTTGGTGTGGCTGATCTACACCCAGGACGTGGGCTACGGCGAGGTGGGCCGGGCCATCCTCGCCAACCAGACGGCCCTCCCCCATGTTGGTGCCTGAGACTCGACAGGTTCCCCCAATGAACAACATTTACTGCAATAATAAGAATAAGAATAATAAAATATAACAACTCGAGAGTTCTCTTCATTATTTTGCCTGTATGTCATTGCACGGCGTTGTGGGGCTTGTAGTGTGGTGTGGTGTTCGGGTGGCTTGATGGTTGTTGCCTTAAGGCCTAAGACTGCTCCTCCGGGACCAGCGGGAAGCCCCACTTGCGGGCGATGCGATAGATGACATTCTCCACATACCTGACCAAGGCGTTTAGAACGTCTTGCGCGCACCACACCGCACACGACACACACCACCACCAAACAGGTGTAGGCGGGCATGAGAAGTACCAGTGGAACGACTTGCAGTGGAGCTTCTGCCGCAGCTCGTGTCGGGAGGCCAGACCGGGCAGCCGTCGCAGGCGGTGGTCGCTGAGACCCGAACTCTCCGACAGGTGCTTCATCACGCTGTCTCCGTACGAGTCCATCCACACCTGGTACCACTCTGTCTGTCAGTCATCGCTCTTCGCTCTTTATTTTCGCTCACCGCCCCTTCGCTTTCGTTCTTTCACTCGCACCAGGGGGGAGGGAGCAAGTACCTGGGCGAACCGCGCCTTGTTGCGGGCGACGAAGGTGGTGTCCTCGAAGCGATAGGCGCCGCGGGTGCGGGTGTCGTTGGCCCAGTAGATGTGGCCGATGCGGGTGCACGGAATGACGTAGGCGCCGGTGCCGCACATCCAGGCCTTGGCCGCGATCTCGATGTTTTCCACGCCCCAGATCTCGAGGCCCGGGTCGTACTTGCCCACCTGCTCCCACCACTTGCGCGCCACGCCGAACGCCGCGCCCAGGATCGACGCGGTCTCGATCGGCGCCGCGGTGATGTTGGCCTCGGGCGGGCTGCCGCTCCACTTGAACTCGAGGTCGCGCACGCGCAGGGTCACCAGGTGCAGGCTCGGGTGCATCGACTCCCACTTCTGGGTGCGCGGGTCGATGCCCTCGATCACGGCCGACACTATGCTGTCCGGGTGGTTCTGCAGGTGGAGCAGGAACGGCTCGGCCCAGCGCTCGGTCACCTCCATGTGGCTGTCCAGGAAGACGACGACGTCGCCCGTGGACCGGTCGGCGCCGGTCATGCGCGCGCCGGCCACGCCCAGCCCGCGCTTGTTGTACACGACGCGCACCTTGGAGTAGGTGCGCGACATGTAGCGCCGCACGGGCTGGTCGCGACTGGCGTCGTCGACGATCACGATGTCGCGCAGCAGGTGGCCCGGCGTGTGCTTGAGGATCGAACGCACCGTGTTCTCAAGCAGCGTCGGATCTTCGTCGAGGGCCGTGATCACCACCTACATACATGTATGTGTCGTGTGCGCACACGTGTGGCGTGTCAACAACACGTGTTGTTGATGTTTGGTTGGTGATGTGGTTGGGCGTACGGAGAGCGAAGGCAGGCCGTGTGGGTAGACGATGGCGTCGCAGCCCTGGGGCCGTAGGACGTCTGCAGGCGTGTAGGCCAGGGCGAGGCTTGACATCAGGCCTATGAGGCATAGCGCCACAAGGGCACAGGTGTAGTGATGATGAAACCTCATCCTCTCGTTTGGGTCTGGTTGTGTCTGGTTGTGCTTTGCTTGATCAAGAGTTTGTACGCAAGTGCGAATGTGATGAAAACATGTTGTGGGGCTCGAGCTTTGAGGCTCATGTTGGAGTGGTGGACTGTCTCACACGGGCCAATCGAGGGATAGGGATTACGACACCACTTCCACTCCCTGGCCTTCACGCGAACAACACACCCGCCACGGTTCTCTCGGCGGAGGAGACCAGTCTGGTGACGTGGCATAGCTACCACGCCAGCAGTTCACTCCCATCAACTCCCACGACGCCTAACGCCCACAACAAGGTTGGCTGACCGTAGCCCAGGACACTCGCCAGGCCCAACTTGTTTTTTGGGAATGCTGTCTTTGGATTAGGAAACAGTTTCGTCATTTGCAAAAAAACGAAAATGTGTCGACTAACGTTAGGAAAGAAGAAGGCTTTTTCCTTCGTTCTCGAAGTCGTGGGCGCATTGTCTGAACGTTTTGCTCCGGTGCGTGGGGTCTGGTCTGCCGCGTTGTGCCTCGTACTTTGCAAAGACTGCTTGGGGGCGCCACTACGGCACACTAACCCGGAGTGCGGGCGCAGAGAATGACTTCGCTGCGGTGGGCCTGCCTCGCGGCGGTGTTGCTGTTGGCTCTCGTGTGCGCCACGGCCTCCGCCGGCCAGACGCGGAGGTTCCTCCACATCACCGACATCCACTGGGGTACATCTTTCTTACAACCGTTATTTCGTTTTATTATATTGAGGAACTGTTAATTTTAATAGCTTTTTATTGTAAAATATTAATTATAATTGTTTATATTTCATCTGTGCAGATAAGTTCTACGTGGTGGGCACCAGCGTGACGGACCTGTGCCACTCCCACGGCGGTCGCCGGACCCTCGTGGCCGCAGACGACCAGGCTGGGACCTTCGGCGCTCGCGGTTCGTTTTCTCACATTTTCCTTTTTGGCAATTATTTATCTTCATTTATTTGTGTGAAAAAATAGTAATAAGTAATTACTTGTTTCCTTTTGAGGGTTTATTATCACTGCTTTTTATTTTTATTTTTATTTATTTATTTTTACGGACACAGGGTGCGACTCGCCGTACCCGCTCGTGACCGCGGCCCTGCAGTTCGCTCGCTCCCTGGGACCTCTTGACTTTGTGGTGTGGACCGGCGACAACGCGAGGCACAACCGCGACAAGGCCTTCCTCCCCACCTCCCAGGACGAGATCCTCTACGAGAACACCCAGGTACCGCACACACCGCACACGCACACACGCACACGCACACTCACGCGCTTCGCACACACAGGTGACGCAATGGATGCAGCAGTCGTTCCCGTCGCTGACGCTCGTGCCGTCGATCGGCAACAACGACGTCTACCCGCACGACAGCCTCGGCCCCGGCCCCAACGCGGTACACGATTGTGTCACCCTCCGCTCCACCACCACCAAACAAACAAACAAACAAACAAACAAACAAACAAGCAAACCACAACGCGGTGCTGACGCTGGTGCTGGTGATGGCTGGGTCGGCGCAGATTTTGTCGAACTTGACGGCCAACTGGAGGCAGTGGCTGAGCCCGGCCAGCCAGCAGACCATGAGCCAGGGCGGCTACTTCGCCACCCAGGTGGCTCCCGGACTCCAGAGTAACTTCCCCCCTATCACCCCCATAACCAAACCCTTGCTGACGACACGACACGACACGACACGACACGACACGACCAACGACACGATACGCACCACCGCACACGCGCATGATCGCACGGGTAGTCATTTCGCTCAACACGATCTACTGGGCCAGCGTACGTAACAACCATCAATATCAGTCGCGCGCGTGCCTCGAGGTGGCAGAGGGGCACTCACCCTTTCTTCTTCTCTGTTGGGTGCGTGCAGTTCAACACGGAGACCAAGTCGTGCAGCCACAACAAGTACCCCGGCGCCCAGCAGTTCGCGTGGCTCGACCAGACCCTCAGCGCCATCCGCCAGAGCGGCCAGAAGGTGCGTGCGCGCCTCCCTTCATCGCCGCCACTATCCCGCTCACTTTCATCGCACCTCACACCCGTGCCCTCCAATCCACCTTGCAGGCCTACCTCACGGGCCACGTTCCGCCCCACAAGGACTACTACTTTGACTCGTGCCTGGCGGCCTACGAAACCATCACCGCCAACTACGCCGACATCATCGTCGGCCACCTCTTCGGCCACAAGCACTCGGTACCCACCACACAATTTATTTATTTTATTTTATTTTTTTATTCATTAATTCATTATTGTTCCTTGTTATTTATTTGTATTTTATTTATTTATTTGTATTTTATTTATGTGCAGGATCACTTGTACGTGCTGAAGAACCAGGCGGGTGCCATCCTGGTGGCCCCCTCGGTGCTGCCGCAGTACAACCCGTCGCTGCGCGTGATCGAGTACGACTCGTCGTCGTACGAGATCATGAACGTGATCACCTACTGGGCCAACCTCGACGCCGCCAACGCGCAGGGCAGCCTGACGTTCAAGAAAGAGTACGACATGGTCTCAGCGTACGGCCTCTCGGCGCCGCTCGACACGGCTCAGTGGCTCGACATGAAGCAGAAGACCGACAACGACCCGGCCATGGCCAAGCTCTACGGGTTCTACAAGTACGTGAGCAGCGGCATGACCAAGGCCACCCACATCCCCGGCCACCCCAACTGCTGAGCGCGGAATCGACCACCCGCGGGTGGAAAAATAAAAAACGTTAATAAAGGCTGACAATTTTGGACGCGGGCGAGCAACACTCAACACGCGCCTCTCACGTTCTCTCAATCCCACAGGCGGCGAGGAGGTGCGGAGTGATTTACACTGACCTCCTCGCCACCCGTGACATTGAGAGGGGATGAGGGTCCCGTAGTTGTGTTCTTGTTCTGGGCGATGGATGATCGACGTGGTCGTCTCGAAGGCAGGGCCGCGGTGGTCGCGTGGTCGTCTCGAAGGCTTGATGGTCGCGTGGTCGTCTGGAAGGCTTGATGGTCGCGTGGTCGTCTCGAAGGCTTGATGGTCGCGTGGTCGTCTCGAAGGCTTGATGGTCGCGTGGTCGTCTCGAAGGCTTGATGGTCGCGTGGTCGTCTCGAAGGCTTGATGGTCGCGTGGTCGTCTCGAAGGCTTGATGGTCGCGTGGTCGTCTCGAAGGCTTGATGGTCGCGTGGTCGTCTCGAAGGCTTGATGGTCGCGGTCGCGGCAGAGGGCGTCGAAGGCTTGATGGTCGCGGTCGCGGCAGAGGGCGTCGAAGGCTTGATGGTCGCGGTCGCGGCAGAGGGCGTCGAAGGCTTGATGGTCGCGGTCGCGGCAGAGGGCGTCGAAGGCTTGATGGTCGCGGTCGCGGCAGAGGGCGTCGAAGGCTTGATGGTCGCGGTCGCGGCAGAGGGCGTCGGTCGTGTGGTCGCGGTCGCGGCAGAGGGCGTCGAAGGCTTGATGGTCGCGGTCGCGGCAGAGGGCGTCGAAGGCTTGATGGTCGCGGTCGCGGCAGAGGGCGTCGAAGGCTTGATGGTCGCGGTCGCGGCAGAGGGCGTCGAAGGCTTGATGGTCGCGGTCGCGGCAGAGGGCGTCGAAGGCTTGATGGTCGCGGTCGCGGCAGAGGGCGTCGGTCGTGTGGGTCTTCGGGCGGTTCGAGAGCGTGTTCATTATGGTCATGGGCGGGAGCACAGGGCTGACTCGTCTGGAAGCAGGATAGGGCAAGCGAACGGGGAGAGTAGGGGAGCAGAGGAAGAAAACGCAGGGAGAGGCACGGCAGTCGTCGTCGTCAGGTCAAGTTGGCTGAATGGCGAGTTGGGCGGTGAGCAAGCGCAAGGCGGGCGAGTTAGGTCAATGCAACTGGTGGAGTCGGGGCGGCGGTGCGTAGAGGTCGTTGTGGAGAGGTCGGTGCTGGTGTATCGGGGGGGGGGGCGGAGTTGCGGGCACTGTTCGTAGGCCGGGGTCCACGAGGCAGGCCTGAAGGGGCAGAGCGGGGGGCGCTTGGTTGAATGACTGGGAAAGGAGGTAGGAGAAAGGTCGTCGTAGCGTAGGTAGGGTAGGGTAGGTCCAGGAACTTGGGTGGATACTTCGGGAGGGTCGGAGGCACGTAGGTAGGGATCCACGGGGCAGTCTGAAGGGGAGGAGCAGGGTAGGGGTTGAGTGCAGAATGGCTTTGGCAGCGTCGTCGGTCGGGGGTCCACACGTAGAAGGCGTCGGTCGGGGGTCCACACGTAGAAGGCGTCGGTCGGGGGTCCACACGTAGAAGGCGTCGGTCGGGGGTCCACACGTAGAAGGCGTCGGTCGGGGGTCCACACGTAGAAGGCGTCGGTCGGGGGTCCACACGTAGAAGGCGTCGGTCGGTCGGTCAGAATGAAGCGGGCACGTAAGTCGGTTGGTCGGAATGAAGCGGGGCACGTAGGTCGGTCGGTCGGAATGAAGCGGGGCACGTAGGTCGAGGGTCCACGGGATCTGGAGAACAGGGCAAGGCGGGGCAGGGAACACGAAGCTTGGCGAGAATGTACCGTTGGGGCGTGATGAAGAAGAAGAGAGGTGAAGAAGATGCGGAGGCGGAAGACGGGGTGTAGGGCCGAGAACAGAAAGGCTGTGAAAGGAGGGAGTGATGAATCGGAGCGGAGGAGGAGGGGCGCTGTCGAACTCGGTCGCCACCGGTGTCGAGCGTCGTTACGTACGTGAGGGGGTCTGCTGATTAGCTACGATCATGCGCGCCAGGCGGAATGAGCTCTCGATGGTCTCGGTGCGCGAGTACGATGACTGTGCGAAGTCACGGCACCATCGCTTCCTGCTGCGGGGCAGCTGACCACCGGGGACGATTGGATGGACTCGAGCGCGAGCGAGAATGGAGGCTCGGCTATCCACCACGAAGGAGGATCGACTCAGGAGCACGAGGGACAGGTGCGTGGGATCCGCGCTGGTTGAAAGGCATTCTGCAGAGAAATTTGCTGCATAGTTGCGATCCAGACGCATTCGAGCTTCGGACCCGCGAATCGGATGTGTTGATGGGCGCGAGGATGAAATTAGGAGGGACGGAAAGGGCAGATTCGAGACTAGAGCATCGAAACAGCCATCGAGAGCGCGAATCGCCGAACGGAGGTTAGAGAGGGTGGCATGTTCTCGCGAGTGAGCATCTCGCGTCGCGAGTGGTCCACCGAAGGGGCGAAAGAAGAATGTAGGGAACGGCGTGAGGGGAGGGGTTGTGCGTTGAGACGCGAGGGTGTGAAATCGGTGAATGGTTTACTCGACTAGCAGCACCATGTCGGTGGTGGGTAGTGAACTGTACAGGGTGTGAATCGAAAATGCCTCTTGCCGTTTCGTCACCGCCATTTATACTTAACCATGTCGACACAATATCCCATTCTACGACTTTTCTACAACTCGGCGATTGGCCGAAATTGTTGTTTCTTTTGCTCGGAATTTTCCCGACTTGTGCAATCATGGATAATGAGAAGTGGTGGGATTCGAACTCAGGGCTCGGGAGAAGGCGGCGGATTTCGGGCTGAAACACTACATTGCCTCAAGTGAGACATTCGGCCTGATTCTCCTAGACATTATGTGTTGACATGTCCCCCCTATCGCCAATCTCATCTCCGTGGGCGCCCGCAGACGACCACCATGATCCTCTCTTCTACCCCGTGAGCTCTAACGCCTGCCATTACTCCAACACCACCATCAACACACCAGAACAAGAACACGAACAGACCTCCAGCCGGGGAATGCAGAGCACGTCAGCACAGAAAGACCTCGATCGAGCCACGGGCGGCGCTGTCGGCCACCAAGATGGTGACGATGGAGGGCTCGGCGGCGAGCGAGCGCCGTCGCCGACCATGGAGAAGCGGTCGCCGTCGGGCGTGTTCGCCTTGGGCTGGAAGAGGAGCCCATCATCGAGCGCGACACCGGGTTCAAGCGGCGGCTCAAGCGGCTCCTCGGCATCTTCGTCTTTCGACAGAGCTACCTCGACCTCGCCAACGTTCACATCGACGCCGCCGAAAGGTACGATGACGCTGCCAGCCTGGGTTACGAGAAATTGAGAACTGACGACGTGTGGTGCAGGAGGGCGCGGTTGGTGGGCGAATGGCAGAACTACGGCGTGCTGATGGCCCTCATCGCCGGCTTCGCCGTCCAGATCTATATGGACCCGCCGCAGACCAAGGTCGACGGCAACGCCACCTGGATGCCCACGCTCTTCGGTACGCACACCGCACACGCACACCGCATACGCACACCGCACACCGCACACGCACTGCCGCACACAGGAGCAAGATGCGCTGACCTCCAGTGATCGTTATAGGTATCTTCATCGTGGTGGCGTTGGCGTCCAACTTCTTCGGCATCCTGCTGACGCTCTCGTTCTACCGGGCGCTGAACGCGATCCCCGATCGGAAGAACAAGAAGTTCATCCGCTCGCTCTCCTTCGTGCTCGGCATCCCCACGATCTTCCTCATGCTGGGCGTCATCTCCTTCTGCGCGGCCATGGTCGTTGCCGCTCGACTCCTCTATGACGACGTAAGCAATTACCACTTCCACTTGCGCGTGTCGTGCGCGTCACCACTCGCGTGCCATGCGCGTGCCGTGCGGTGCGCGACAACATGTTGTGTGTCGTGCGTTTGTGGGTGTGTGGTGTTTGTGCCGTCGCTAACGCTGGGGGGGGGAAAGGCCATCTTCATCTTCATCTGTGTGCTCACGGGGTGCATCTGCCTGGTGTGGCTGCTCATACACCTCTACACGCCACTCGTCCTGCGTGCCCTCCGCTCCGCCTGATACCTGTACAGAAGTGGATTTCTACAATGAAAATATATTTATTTTCTATTTCTTTATTCTTTATTATTTGTTCTTTATTACGTCGAGTTATGGAAATCATTTTCATTATTTATTTTCATTTATTATTAGTTGGCCTTCTTGTCGAGCCCGTGCTCTGTGGTTGTGGTGTGTGCCCTTTTCTTGGAAGCCGCGGTACCAGAGACTCGAGCACCAGCCTTGCGCACCAGTAACGGCCGCGAACCAGACTTTAGGAGATCACTGGAGATGCGACGCTTGACCAGAACCACCTCGGCCGCTGCTGCCGTCGACGGCGTCGTTATGCGCCAGTGCGGTCGCTCTGGTCTCGGAGCCGCCCGCCGCCTGGTGTTGGCACCGTCACCCGTCTCCTCCTCCTTCTCTTCCTCTTTCGCTTTGCTCTCGTCCCCCACCGGCGTACTCGCCACCCCCTTCCGACCGCTGCCTCCCCTTCTCGCTCGTCGCTTCTCTGCAACCACTACAACATCAACCTCATCCTCTTCGCCATCTCCTTCATCTCCATCTCCTTCATCTTCATCTTCATCTTTGTCGGCGGTCGCGAGTAGCGAGTCCTGGGCCGAGCGGGCCAAGGCCGGCGCAAAGGCCATGTGGGCCCAGTACTGGGGCGGCACGCGGCAGCTCTGGGTCGACGCCGGCGCGGCTCGTGCCCTGCGGCGCCGGGTTCGCGAGTCCATGGCCAGCGGCGGGGTGGCAGCCGACGGGTCGGTGGCGCTGAGCCGGCGGGAGACGCGGTTCGTGCGTCGGGTGGCTGACGACGTGCGCGCGCTGGTGCCCTTCCTCGCCTTCTTCATGCTCCCCTTCTCGGCCTACGCCCTGCCCGTCATCGTCCGCTTCTTCCCCGGCTTCCTTCCCTCCACGTACCACTCTTCCAGGTACAGACCGCACACGACACACGACACGCACCACCGCACACACGGTGCGACACGCACGGATGTGTGGCTGACGAGGGGTGTGTCAGCTATCGGGTGGCGCAGATGCAGAAGCGGCAGAAGGTCAAGGTGGAGGCCGCCCGCCAGCTGCGCGACGCCCTCAGCGAGCGACTGCTCGCCACGGAGGGTCCGTCGGCCCGCGAACGCGACCTCCTCCTCGACTTCATTCACCGGGTTCGCACCCACCATCGCGTTCTTCGTTCATTTCTTCTTCGTTCTTTCAAGTGGAGCTGATGGTGGTGCTGTGACGTCAGCAGGCAGCAGCCGGAGAAGCGATTCCGCTGACGCAGCTGCGACCGCTCGACCGCTACTTCGCGACGCACTTGAAGCTGCTGGACCTGGAGCCGAGGCGATCGAGCGGAGCCTCGCTGGGGTCGTGGCTGGGCTCGACGCTGTGGCTGTGCCCGGCGGAGCTGCGCGCCCTGTGCACCTTCTATGGCCTCTCGGCGCTGCCCCTCCCCACCTTCGACCACTGCGCCAACCAGCTCATCCTCCACGCCTCCCGCATCCAGCACGACGACAAGGTGTGTGTGTGCGGCGTGTGTCGTGTCGTGCGGTGTGCAACGTGTGTGTCGTGCGGCGTGTACTGACCATCGCCGTGTCGTGCGTGCAGCTGTTGGTGCAGGAGGGAGACAGGTGGCCGACTGAGCTGACGGACGAGGAGCTGCTGGAGGCGTGCGACGAGCGCGGTCTGCCCACCGACGTCACCGAGCGCGATCGGTTGGTGGCCCAGATCAACCAGTGGCTCGCCTTCCGCCGGCCACCTCCGCCCGTCTCTGCCGAACTCACCCTCTTCGCGCCCGCTCTCGCCACCAACACCAGAGCCAAGTGAAAAGAAAAGAAAAAGAAAACACGACTTTTCTCGCCAAGGTTGCGATTGATTAATCATTCAACCAAGATGATCCGAAGAAGTGCACTCCAGGAGACGACCTGCCGAGGCTGGACGAAGAGGTCACAAAGGGGCCTGTTCGCTGGCCGCACCGTGGTCTTCGGCAACCAAATCAGTTTCTCGCACAAGCTGTACGGCCCGCCCCCCTCCGGCTAATTTTGTATCAATTTTTAATCGCAACAATTTGATGCAGCACGCGACGGACGTGGAAGCCCAACGTGCACAAGAAGAAGCTCTTCAGTGAGCTGCTGAACGAAACATTCCACATCAATGTGACGACGGCAGCTCTCCGCACTATCGACAAGATGGGCGGGCTGGACAACTACATCCTCTACACCAAGGACCATAAGCTTGACTCGCTGTTCGGCCTGCAGCTCAAGGAGCGGCTCAAGGAGGTGCCCTCTCCCTTCTCACATCATTAAACTCCGATTTCTGCCGCTACGCGCCCGCTGCTCGCTCCATCTTTCATCTTTCAACATGAGTGAAGTGGCTTGTCCGTCCGCTTCCCATCCGTGCCACCATGCGAGCCTGCTCTACCCGCCATGTGTTTGCTCACGCTACTCGCTACTGCTGATGGTGTACCACTAGGTGTACGAGCTGAAGCACGGCGTCAAGTTCCAGGCGAAGGCAGCCCCGGCTGTGTCGGTCAAGGACCAGTGGCAGCAGATCATCGACAACTACAACCGAAAGAAGGAGGGTTCTTCTTCTTCCTCCTCCTCCACCGCCTCCGCGACGTCCTCCCCTCCTCCCGTAGCGCAGCGCGAGCAGAGCGAGGTGGTGTGAGTGTTGTCCTGTTGCACACGTACACAATACAATGGATACTAATTCACACCAATCCGGCCCAATCGTGTGTGTGCGTGCGTGTGCGCACGACACACGCACACAGGGATTGTGTGGCAATGCAACGCGGTTGAACCTAACATCCCTTTTATGGCATTTGACGTCCTTGGTGCAAAAATGCACCAGACCGTTACGCTTCTGTGTCGACGAAGGCAACCACAACGGAAACGACATCATCATCAACAACAACTACGGCGTCGTCAGTCTTCCTCAAGTGAGGAGTGTCAGATCAGTCCTCCCTCCCCACCTCGCAACAGATCTTTAGCCTTTTCGGGCGAGTGCCGCAATGAAGAGGCTAAACTTTAAGTCCAACAAGGAGACATCTCGACGGTACACCCTCGAACAACAGGACCGGTATGTCGAAGTCATGGAGCAGGTCCAACCAGCCAAGAAGAAGGTAGTGCACCGCCCCTCTTCCTTTCTCGAAGCCCAAAGCATAAACAACAGAAAGAAAGAAACAAGCAAATCGGTTTTTATTTATTGATTTATTATATTGATTTATTTTGGTCGCAGGGCAACCTGTTGAAGCTAGACCTGGTTGGTCAGAGGTATGTTTACATGTCGGACTGTCCCCGCACACGCGTACCACCGCACACGCACACCACCGCACACGCACACGCACACGCGCACCACCGCACACGCACACGCACACGCGCACTCTATCGCACACGCACCACCGCACACGTGCATACGTCCCACCGCTAATGCCGGCCTCCCACCGCAGCAATTCCACGCACACGAAGCCGGCCAAGCGCGAGGGCCACCTCTTCGAACACTTCATCGTGGTCGGCCCGTCGGCTTTGAGCATGGAGCCATCGTCATCTTCGTCATCTTCATCATCGTCCACTTCCACCTCCTCGTCATCGACATCGCTAACCGATCTCGCTGGCATCATCTCGTCATCGTCGTCCACATCGCCCTCGCCATCATCACCGTCGTCCCGCCCGCGGTCGAGGCTGCTGACATTGACCCGACCAACCCAACCGCCCGCGCCCGCGCCCGCGCCCTTCGCCGTCGCCGCCGAAGACGTGCGGGCGCCCGAACTGATCTTCAAATTCCCCAACATTCCGCTGTCGTCGGACCAGGTCGGCCGCTTCTGCTTCCCGCACGGCGTGCCGACCAAGGACATCCTGGCCTCGCACTCGATGAGCGCCGAAAACGAGATCGTCTTTGACTCGCTCAAGCGGATCCAGAGCTCCCACTTCTCCTACGTGTTCCGCATCACCGCCGGCGACACGGTCCTCTACGGCGTCTGCGTTCGTCGCCTCGAAATGCTCGAGGTTCGTGTCGTGTCTTGATCGTTGTGTGTCGTGCAATGTGTGCGTGTGCGATGATGATGACGTGTGTGTCGTGTGCGACTGACGATGGGGTTTGGCTGTGCAGAGGAGGCCGACGTTCGCGAGGAAGGCGGCGCCGGTGGTGATTGCTACGACGCCCGAAGGCAATCAGGAGGTGGCTGTGGGGGAAGATATGGGCGAGCGGGAGGAGGTGGGGGTGGAGGGCGCGGTGCGCTCGCGCGGCGGCCAACGGACCAACAAGACCAGCACGCTCCGCTGCTACTGCCTCCTCTCCCGCTTCCCCTTCTTCGAACTCCACTTCTCCGTCCTCTACAGCGTTCTGGGTACCTTGCGCCAACCCCCCCCCTCCTCTGTCACCACCTCCTACATCCGCTACTCGGCTTTGCTTTTATATTTGTCGACACTGAACATTGCCACGTCAGCGGCCGAGCGACTGCTGCAGATCGGAATGAGCGGGCTGGACGACGACGACGAGCTGCTGCAGCAGCCGACGACGCCGCCCGCGAAGGTCACCGGAAACGGCGGCGCTGTTGACCCGTTGAGCGGCTTCGCGGACGACAACATGGTGATCCAGGTGGTCAAGGCCTACTACGAGGTCCTCCTCAACGAGGAAGCCGCGGCGTCGGGCCTCTCCTTCACCCTCCCCGACCCCCTCCAGCAGAACTACACCTGTCCGGTGCGTGTGCGTGTCGTGTGCCGTGTGTCGTGTGCCGTGTGCCGTGTGCCGTGTGCCGTGTGCGGCTTGGCTGACATGGTCAGGTCACCGGCAGGTGGGTGACGAGGACACGATGATGGCCGAGTGGGGCGTGCCGTGCATCTGCCGGGCGTTTTCGCTCACCGACTTCATGTTCCTCCTGCGCGCGCTCCTCACCGAATGCTCCGTCATCGTCGTCTGCGAAAACCTGGGCGTCCTCTCCTGCATCATGTATGCACAACCCACTCCCGCGTGTGCGAGTGCGTGTGTGTGTGCGCGTGCGATGCACCCAACAACTCACCGCACACGCACAACCGCACTCGCCGCACGACATGAAGGCTGTCGATGGCCACGCTGCTGCGACCGTTCGTGTGGCAGGGCGTGTTCATTCCGATCCTGCCGGCGGGGTTGATCGAGGTGATCGAGTCGCCGGTGCCCTACCTGGTGGGCGTGCAGCGGCTCGAGGGCGAGCGGCTGCGGACGGTCGGTGAGTGCCTGGTCGTCAATTGCAACACCAACTCGCTCCTCCTACCGCCCGTCTTCCCGCCCTTCCCCTTCGACGCCAAACTGTACAGTTCCTCCTTTTCGCGCGTGTGCGTGTGCGATGGTGTGTGCGGTTTGTGTCTTGTCGTGTCGCATTAGAAATGACACGACACACACGACACCACACGCGCAGGAAGCGAGAGCTGAAGCAGGTGTACGCCGAGTTGGCGCCCAATGCGGGCAACGCGAAGGCGGATGAGAAGAACACAACCGACTGGACCCTCTACCCGACCCGCAACACGCCTGCCGACAAGCTCGCCGTCCACCGACTCCTTGCGGTGCGCCTTTGCGCCCCTTTTTGGTCGAGTGATGGTGACTTACCGTGTGTCGTGCGGCGTGTGTCGTGTGTGTGTGTGTGTGTTTGTCGCGTTGTGTGTGTGTTTCCAGGTGTTGCGTTCGTTCCACCAGGAGCTGATGGACAGCATCACAGAAAAGATCGCCGTGGTGGGCCTCGTGGACTTCAACTTCGAGAACGAGAAGCACATGGCCGACCTCCTCAAGCTGTGGACCAAAGAGGTTTGCACTCTCTCCCCCAACAAGCTATGCGTGTTGCTCACGCGTGTGTCGTGTCGTGTCGTGCTTGGTGTGCGGTGCAGGAGGCGCGACAGTTCTTCCAGCGGCTGCTGCAGTCGCAGATGTTCGCAATGTTCTCGGACATGCTTATGCGCGCGCTGTGGGAGAAGGAGAGCGAGCGGCAGCGCAACGTGCTCGACCAGATCCTGGCCATGCTGGGCGAGGAGGACCGCCAGCAGGCCGGCATCGTGTCGGTGCTCAAGATCTACGAGACGCTCAACGAGGCCGACCTGGAAGAGACCGCGCGCCTCGAGGCCACGCTCCGCCAGTCGTCGTCGCGCATCTCGTCTCTGGCCGACTCCAAGCGCAAGGTCGAGGCCGAGCTGCGAGCCCTCGCGGCTCGCCTGGCCCGACTCGGCGACCATCACATCAATGACAACGGTGACGACGATGACAAGCGAAACGACGTTGGCGAGGGAGGTGAGGGTTGATGTGCAATCACCATTGACAAAAAGTAAACCATCATCCTTGAGTGTAGTGAGGAGAAAGTATGATGTTGTCTTTTGAACGAGTCGCTACGCGCGATGTAGCGATGTGCAAGGCATGTACAGAGGAAGAAGAGAAAAGAGGGCAACTACTTGGCCTTGGTGGTTTGCTTGCTCTTGGGCTGCGCCTTGTTGGCCTCCTTCTTGTTCTTCTTCTCGCCGTTCGCCTTGGGCTTCTGGGCACCGTTGGCCTCCTTGGGCTGCTGCTTCTTGGGGGCGTTGGCCTCCTTAGGCTGCTGCTTCTTGGCCTTCTTGGCCTTCTTCTCGGGGTTCGAGTCCGTCTTCTTCTGCTTCTTCTCTTCCGACTTCTCCTCGGAGAAGAAGATGAGCTCCTTCACCTCACCGAGGAGTAGGGCCGCGAGCACCGACGAGCCAATGCAGTACGGCACCAAGTAGAGCAGGGCAGGCTGCGCATTGTTGTTGTTGTGTGTGTGTGTGTGTGTGTGTGTTTGTCGTCAGCGCCGATGAGCATCAGCGTGTTTGGTTGTAGTGCGGGATCAAGGTACCTGAGCGGCCTTGAACACGTGCATGACGCCGATGGTGGTGGCCATGCCCAGGAAGTAGCCGACGTAGGTGAAATTGAAGTAGGGCTTGGGGAAGTTCTTCTTCGCCTTCTGCTTCCTCGCGCGGACCACGTCGAACCTCAGCATGAGAGCGATGAAGATGCCTACAACACAACACAACACAACACAACACAACACAACACAACACAACACAACACAACACAACACAACACAACACAACAACAGGGACAAGGTCAGGCCAGCCACAGATGAAAAAAAGATGAGAAGATGGGCGCAGAAAAGTAGCGCACCAGGAATGACGATGTCGCCCAGACCGAGCATACTGAAGTGGAGCTGCTCGGCAAAGACGTCCTTGGGCCACAGGAGCTTGACGGGCGCGTCGAAGGACTTGGCCACGGTCACCATCACGTCGGTGCCGAACACCCAGAAGATGTCGTACACGAAGAGACCGGACTACACGCAAATCGCCAAAATCAAGATTCGAAATTAGCACATTTAAATAAAAGAAAGAATGGATTGAATGAATGAATGAATGAATGAATGGTACGTACGAGCAGAATGCAGCCGGTTTGGAAGCTGCCGAGGGAGAGAAGGGCAATGCCCTGGATGGAGAAGGCCAGCCCGAGGATGTTGTTGGCGATCCAGTGCTTGGTGAGAACGTACCAGGCGCCGATGCCGGTGGCGAGCACGAGGGCGAAGATGTCGATCACGGTCCACTCGAAGGCGACCGAGAAGAGGCTGAAGGTCTTGGGCTTCTCATCTTGCAGCGACTTGGAGAAGAAGGGGGCGATGAATGGCCGCAGGGTGGCACCGACGGCCATGACGCCGAACACGAGGAAGTAGAGTGTCAGGAGCATGTTGATGTACTCCTTGGAGAAGAGCTTGAACAAGAGGTAGAGCCCGAACAGCACGCAGCTGCCCACGACGGGAAACATGTAGGCGTCCTTGGCCTTCATCGTCTCCACCTTCGGCCCGCGACGCAAAGTCAGCTCATTTAATTCATCGCGATTGGCGCCATTCGAATCTGGGGAGCCGTGTACCATTTTCTGCTCAAGAGACTGGTGCGAACCGATCCAAATCGGCACCATGGCCATAACTATGATGGCGACATACGCCACCAGAATCCCAAACTCGATCATGATGGTGATGAATGAATGAAGCAAATGAATCGATCTTGGCTCACCTTGCCAGTGTCACCAAAGGAGTGGTCAACGGGAAGTCAAAAGCTAAAACAAAGAGAAAATAAAAAGAAATGTTCATTTCAGATCAAAAATTGATCAATTTGACATCTAGCACGATGGACGCACTGCTGGGAGCCTATGGAGATGACGATGACAGCGAGCAGGAGGAGGTGCAGCAGACAAAAGACGACGTCATGAACGTGGTGGACGAACCGTCAGATCAATCGACTGCACGAAAGCGTAAACAGGAAGAGAAGAAGGTGACACTACCCCCGCCCCCATTCGCATCAGAGCAGGCATCCTCGTCTTCAGCCACAAAATCATCGCCAAGCAAGAAGGCCAAGATGACGTCACCTGCCCCGGGGTTGGTGAAATTGCCCAGCCTCGATCTCGATTCCGGCGAATCATCATTCGCGGCGCCCACCTACTCGGCACCACCGCCCATGAAGCTTGTTGAGCCGCCTGCCGACTACGAGACCAAACCAAGGCGAAGAGGTGGTGGACGAGGTACTCTCTCTCCCTATAAGCGCGTTTTCAGGGCCTCTGAACAACCACCACTGTTGTGCAGGTCAGTTTGTACCGCCACAGGTGCGGCGAGGGAGGCCCAACGTGCCCACGGAGGAGACCATCAGCTACGATGAGGCCACAAAGAAGAACACCAAGAGCCCTGCAAAGACAAACTAGGTCCAGGTGTGGCACTCACTCTTTTTGTTGTGTATGCACTGTTTCCACCAACTCATCCAAACAAACACACACACCAAAACAATGCAAGCATGGAGGTGCAATGCTGTGATTGTGCAACAGTGACAGCCTTGACTTAATTTTTTTTGTAAAGCTCCCTGTGTACATAGACACACAATGCTAATCACTACACTTGCAGCAATTAAGTGCCCTCAATTGCCCTCAACACCACATCCCAATTACTCACCAACAAGATATACCACACCCACAACAGCAGTGGCAGATGGTTTCCTGGATTATCTCTCAAACTGAAAAGAAGGTGATTGTGCATATGACTCCAGACTAGTAGGAGATCATAGTTTGCATCCATCACGAGGTACACCCTGCGCTTGTCAGCAAATAACCACTCGTGAGGACGTCAATAACAACAAGATCAAGGTCCGTGGCCTAATGGAAAGGCGTCTGACTCCGGATCAGGAGATTGCGGGTTCGATCCCCGCCGGACCTGAATCGACTCTTTTTATCTCATTTGACAATCAGGGTGGCTTCTGTTTACCAAGAAGTGATGTTATGCCCAGGTTTACGGAAGTTGTTTCCAATTTCTGGCACAAGCTTTGGCCTGTCACTAGTTTTGGTTAGCCCTGGTTTCCAGTAGTTTTGCTAATTTCTGGCAAAACTTTTGCCTTGAGAATTTTATCCAGGTTTCGTGTTTAGACTCTCACACTCAGCTTGCCTCCATCTTGGATCGATGAATGGGCCAATGCACTGGCGGTGAGCTGTTTGGGAAAGCAGATTTTTGATCCATTACGCTAGAGTACTGAGGCGACTCTGTTCTTCGCCTAGGTGTTTCCCGTTGGCCTGAAAGCTGCACAACCCCACACGTCATAACTTTTATCTTTGTTCGTATTGGTCTTGTTGCGCGAGGTTCAGGTGCGCGATGAATCCTCACCGACAGTGTAGCCCTTGGGGATGCCCGCCCGCCCCTCTTCGGCGAGCTTGACCTCCGTCTCGCCCAGCTTCTGCTCGAGCCCCTTCCACTGCCGCTGGGCCAAGAAGGTGGCCGCCGTGGGCACGCTCACCGCCAGCGCCTGACCACCGGACACCACCAGCTCCTGCCCGGCCTCGCCCCCGCTCGCCTCTGCGCCCAGTCGCCGCGTGCTTGAGTTTAGTCGCACAACACGATACACGACACACACACACACGACACCGCACGACGTACCAGGTCGGGCGCTGGACTTGAGTTTGCCGTCGATGAGCGACAGGCGAGGCTCGTCTTCTTCTTCGCTGGGCTCTTCGTTCTTGTGCGGCACGTCAGCGCCTTCTTCCGCGGAGCTGGGGGCGAGCGAGGGCAGGATCTCGCTGAAGTCCGTGATGTACTCTCCGGTCCACTCCTTACCCCTGCGTGTGCGGTGGTGCGTGTGCGGTCGTTTCGTGTCATGTGCGGTGGTGTGTGTCGTGCGGGATAAGCGAAAGTTGTTCGAGGCAAACGTCGGTTTAGATGTCACGCACTTGGTGAGGGCGAGCTCGAGTTCGTAGGGCGTGATGACGGGCTTGAAGAATTCCTTCGAATCGATCAAGCTGTTCTCTGTCGGGCGTCGCATACGTCAATCGGCGCGTGTCATGTGTCGTGTGCCGTGTGCCGTGTGTCGTGTGTCGTGTGCCGTGAGCCGTCGTGTGCGTGCGAGAAAGTCTTACCGGGGCAGGCCACGAGCACGAAGATGTCGATGTGCTCAAAGTTGGCGAGCTTGTGCGGGTTGAGCTTGCCCACCACGAACGTGTAGTACTTCTTCCCGGCCGCCTTGATCAGCCGCTTCATGTGGTCCATGATCTGCAGGTACTTGGCTGCCCAAACGAGTCAGGTCGTGTCGTGTCGTGTCGTGTCGTGCGCGGGACTGCGTACAGACGCCGAGGGTGCCAGCGACGATGCCGATGATGTCGGCGTCCTTGGTCTTCTCGACGAGGAAGTACCGTCGCATGAGGGTCTTGTTCACCGACAGCGTCTCCCTTCGCAGCTCCCTGCTGTCGGGACTGTACCGCCACATCTGCAGCCCGCACCACGTCAGCCACACCACACGACACGCACAACACGACACGACACGACACACGATACCCGGGCTTGGCTGTAGGTGATGACAAAGTTGGTGAGCGTGGGACCCTCCTCGCCCACGAACAGCACCACGTCGCGCTTCTTGTCTTGGCCGCCGCCCTGGCCCGGCGCCGCAATTCTGCGCCCGTAGACCACCACCTCAGCAGCCTCGGCCTCAGCAACAGCTGACGTGGCACTGGGCTCGTCAGGCTGCTCCCGGGGCTGTCGACAATCGCACGACCCGCAGCCGCCGCCGCCGCTGCCGGTGGTGGTGGTGAGAGGCGGGAGGCGAAGGCCCCGGGCGGGCACGTAGAAGCGGTCGAGGCGGCTCACGGCGACCTCGGCGGCCGGGTAGCCGGCCGACCGGAGCTCGGCCTCGAGCAGCGGCGCGGCGTAGGCGAACTCCACGTCGTAGTATACCACCACGCGACCGCCCTCCTGGCATGTGAACTATTCATGAGTACCGCGCGGCACACGACGCGACACGCGGGCGCGTACCTCAATGTTTTGTGTGTGTTGGTCGACGAGTGGGAAGGATTGTTTGAATTCTTGGACCAGATGCGCGACGTCCAGAGGCTTGCGGCCGAAGACGTAGATGACCGGCAGATGTGATGTCCTGCATTGATTGATCGCATCTCTGCTCTTAGCGCAATGGTGTGTGCGGTGTGTGCGGTGTGTGTGCGGTGTGTGCGCGATGGACGTACGGAGAGAGACAGGTGCGGCCGTAATGTACGATGACGTCGGCGCTCAAATGCTGCGCCGCCACTTCGTCGACGCAGCACGCGCCATATGAAGTGTCGCCCAACACGAACAACAAAACTATGCCAGAGCACACACCCGCGCACACGACACACGACACACGACACACGACACGACACACAGTGTGTCAACAGATGAGAAAGGCCGCGACACCGTCTACGTTGGCTGCAGGTACGTACCTTCGGAGCCCAGGCCTGACTGCAGGTGGCGGTAGACCTCCGGCGCGTAGGGCAGCAGCTCGTCGGGAAACTGCAACGCCACCTATTGATATTTTTGATTTGTCGTTAAATCGAATCAGTCAATAAATGAATAAATGCTAATTAAAAAATAGTTATAAAAATTATAGAAGATGAGGCTCCACCTTACGGAAGGAACGGGATGTGAGGATCTGCAGCGTGGCCGGAACATCGAAGAAGTCGGTCAATGGAAAGGGCAGAGGCGAAGGGGCGCCTGACGGCGGCTCGCGCTGTCGTAGCATCTCTTCCTGTCCCGAATCGCCCCATAATCTCACCGGCGGAGGTGCTTCCGCTTCCATCTTTGTTTTTTTACAAAGATGGAGAAATCTAAAAAGAAAGAAGAAAAGTGGTTTTCTTCCTCTCCGAAATGAGAAAAAGAAGAGAAATCACAAGTTAAACGAGTGCCAATAACAACAAAGAAGAACAGACCAACAAGTGCATGTTAGGCCTTCTACGCTTCTTCTTCCACGCAGACATACACGTACACCCCTCGCACACACACACACACGCCGAGAGCGGCGGTCAGAGGTCACAGAGGTTTGCGTTTTCTAGTCGTAGGGGTTGGGGTCGGCGGCGTGCGAGAAGATGTTGGGGGCGTGGACCAGGGGCGCGTATTCGGGGATGTACATGGCGTTCTCCACCAGGTACTCCAGCTCCCGCTCGTTGTTGGGCGGGTGGATCGTCGCCAGGTTGCTCGCGAACGCCTCCTTGCACACTGTGTGTCGTGTGTGTGCGTGTGTGTGTTGTGTGGTCACGGTAAGTCGTGCGGCCCAGTTGTACAATTAATTAACGATACGCGCGCGTGGATTGGAGGTACCCTCAATGGCGATCTGCTTGGAGACCTCGCGGATCTTGGCGATGTCGGGGTAGACCCTGCCGGCCTGCACGTCCTCCTCGGGCACGATGGAGGCCAGCTTCTTGGCGGCCGCGTAGAACATGGCGTTCGTCACCTTCTTTGCGCGGCAGCAGACCACGCCCAGGCCGATGCCCGGATAGATGTACTACGCACACAACCCTCAGATTAGCGCAACTCGCGCACGCACGGATGCACGACACACAGCACGCGCGCGTACCATGTTGTTGCCCTGGGAGGGGTAGTAGGTCTTGCCCTTGTACTGGACAGGGTCGAAGGGACTGCCGCTGGCGACGATGGCGCGGCCGTCGGTCCAGGTGAAGGCCTCCTCGGCCGTGCACTCGGCGTGGTCGGTCGGGTTGGACAGGGGGAAGATGATCGGCCGCTCCGTGTTGGCCGCCATGCTCCGCACCACGTCCTCCGTGAACGTTCGGCCGGCGCCCGACAGGCCCAGCAGGATCGTGGGCTTGACCTGTTGTGCCGTCAAAAAAGAAAAGAAAAGACAAAGAAAAGACCAAGTTAGTAAGCAGCGGGTCGCAGCGGGTCTCACTCAGCGAAAGGCGACAGGGCCGGACCTTGTCGACGGTGTCCTTGAGCTTGAGGCCGTTGGGGAGGTCGGTCCTGACGAAGGGCTTCTGGGCGTCGGAGATGGTGGAACGGCCCTGCGCGATCAGACCGTCGGCGTCGACCACCCACACGTTCTTGTTCGCCACCTAAATGGATCGATACACAGAGAGTCGTTAGTGGCCCTACACGGGCGGAATGAGGTTGAACACAGGGTTGAGGGTATGTACCTCACGCGGCAGGCCCTCTTCGACCATGCCGTCGATCAAGCTGTTGATGACGCCCAGTCCGGCGCTGCCGCCGCCGAGGCACACAATGCGCTGCTTGGTGATCTCCTTGGCCGCCTTGCCCTGCGCCCGGAGCGCCGTCAGAATACCGGCCAGCGCGACCGACCCGGTGCCCTGCACGAACCCCAACATTATTCATAGGTCAGCTTCAGAAGCGCGTCGTGTCGTGTGTTGTGTGCGTGCGTGTGTGTGCGTGTGTGTGCGTGCGTGTGCGTGTGGTGCGTGTGTGTTGTGTGCGTGTGCGTGTGTGTGTGTGTGTGTGTGTGAAAGCGTTACCTGAATGTCGTCGTTGAAGCAGAGATGCCTGTCTCGGTACTTCTCGAGCAGGTTCGATGCGTTGGCGTTGCTGAAGTCCTCGAACTGGACCAGGCACGAGGGCCACCTCAGCTTCACGGCGCTCATGAATTCCTCGACCACGTTGTAGTAGTCCTCACTGCGCACACATCGAGCGATCGACCATTAGCGTCCCGTTCCCATTGCGCGCACGCGCACAAGTCGCAGAGCGTAGCATCCTGATTGGTGGCGTACCCGGTCAGCCGGCGGTGCTGTCTGCCGAGGTAGAACGGGTCATCGAGGAGCTTCTCGTTGTTGGTGCCCACGTCGAGGGTGACGGGGAGCGTGCGCGCCGGGTGAATACCGCCCGCAGCCACGTACAGCGATAGCTTACCGATCTGTTTGTGTCGATGGCGGTTATGACGCACAGACCGCACACCGATCAGCGACCGCTCTCATGAGCTGTGTTGGCGGTTCGTGGTGTCTTGATGGGGTCCGTACAGGGATGCCCATGCCGTGCGCTCCCAGATCGCCGAGGCCCAGAATGCGGCTGCCGTCGGTCACGACGATCACGTCCACCTGTCGGTAGCGCAACGTTGCGAATTAGCACGAACTGCCGAACGATAGGAAAGATCGTCGAAGAGCTCTGTGCGCGTACGTGCTTCTCGGGCCAGTTGTAGATCATGGCGCTCATTTGGCCCATGTCCGCGCTCGAGAAATACATGCCCCTCGCTGCACGCGGTGCTTAGCCTCAAGCAAGCCTCTACGACGATGTCGAAGAGAAAAGAAAGAGAAGAGGGTACCGCGGCGGAACTGGGAGCCGAACTCGATACAGGCCTTGCCCACGGTCGGCGTGTAGATGATGGGCGCTGTTGTGTGTGCGGTCACAGATGTATACGCGTGTCAGCGTTTTCATATGAAGGCACACACGGGCCGGCGAAGGAATTCAATTCAAGCACACACGACACACGCCGCGCTGCGCGTACCCATTTCGTCGATGTTGTCCATGACCATGCGGTAGAAGAGGGTCTCATTGCGGTCGCGCAGGTTGGAGATGTACGAATACTTCTGGAGGTCGTCCGTGATGTGGTCGAACCTTGTCTTCACGCGCTTGGCTTGCTCCTACATTCAGCACCAGTGTAGAGTGAGAGGATGTGTGTGTTGACGGCGAGAGTAAGAGAGACAGCACGGGTTCATGGCGAACAAAGAGGTAACGACTATAGTACCTCGATGGTGGTGCAGCGGGGAGGCACGAGTCCGCGGATGTTGAGGCGGTCGCGCTCGGAGTAAGGGTAGGCCGTGCCCTTGTTGTAGATGGGATCGTGGATCAGATCAACGCCCTTCTTTTCGACCAGCAGCGGCTCGATGAAGGACTTCTTCCTGTAGTCCTGCGTTGCGTCCAAGCGGAGAAGGGAAAGGTTTAAAAAAAATCGAGTAAGCGAGTAGCGGCGCCGATCTCGACTACATTTTGCAGTACGTAGGTAAAATTACTGAATAATGAATGCAAAAAATAGGCAGCAACTGGGAAAAGAAGTAGTACGAGGTGCTTGTGAGGACCGTTGGTGAGGGTGCGCGCCCACTGTGCGGGACGGGCGAAGGCGGAGGTGGCCGCCAGCCGGCAAGAAGACATACCTCCCGCGCGAGTGGCAAAACGTCGCATTGTCGCTGTGGAAGTTGTGGTTGGGATAGGAGGCGAAGAGGTGTTCTTCCTCTTCTCGTTCTTTGATTGGGATTGAGCCTTGCCGAGCTGGCCGCGCAGGTTTCTCGTCGCCAACGACCTCATTGGCAAGATTCCATACCCCTTCGACGCACTCAACAGATGTCAATGAAATTTCAATGAAATACAAAAGAATGGTAGGCACTGGAATGTGCGTGAAGGAACTTAGTTTTCACAATGTTGGCCACGCGTTCTCTTTTTTGGCAGGCCTTACCAAACCTGGCGCATGCCATTTCGCCTTCACCTTTTTCTTCCCAAGGCCGGGAGAGAGGAAGAGGTGGTTGTAAACACACCACAACCATCATCTGGTAGATTTAATCAAACGGTCACTAAAGCAAAGAAAAATGTCGAAGCGTCCGGGAACGCTCGCTCCCAGAGAATATGAGAGGGAGAAGCGGGAGAGGGAGAGGGAGGCAGAGGAGCGCGCCCGATCACGATCGGGCGGACATCGGCGCGCGACTGAGGAGGAGTGGCTCGACGAGGAGGACAGGTTGGACTTCGCGGACCCCTCATCGTCCCGGCGAGGCCTCCCCCAGCCCAGCCATGGCTACTCCTCGTCGTCCCTGTCGTCCACCTCATCGGCGACCAGCCTCTCCAACTCATCCAACTCGAACCCGGCCTCAAACTCGACGATTCGCAAAAGATGGGAGATCAGGTCGAGCGAGGTGATACGCGACGGGGAGAAGTTGGGCCAAGGCGGCTTCGGCGCCGTCTACAAGGGGTGAGCCTCCTTCTTCATCATAATCTCTCATCCATGCCAATCTTACCGGTAAGATGATATGAAATGTGACTAATCATTGATGAGCGCAGAACATGGCGAGGAATGAAGGTGGCCATCAAACAGCTGCTGGACGACAGCGAAGAATCTGTTGAACAGTTCAAGAAGGAGATTGAAACCATGAGGCACGTGAAGTCAATCTTGATGATACAGACCAACCGGCCCAGAACTCGAGAGTAACAATGACAATGTCAACGTGTAACAGCGAATTGCGGCATCCCAACGTGGTGCTGTTCCTCGGCGCGTGCCTCGAACAGGGCAACGTGTTCTTCATCACCGAGTTCGTGTCCAACGGCAACCTGCACGAAATGGTGAGCGAGTTCAAGCCGCCGTGGATCAAACGCGTCCAGTTCGCCCGCGACATCGCCCGCGGCCTCACCTACCTCCACGAAAACGAGCCCACCATCCTTCACCGCGATCTCAAGTCCCTCAACGTGCTCGTGCGTGGTTTCCTCATCCTCTGTGCCACCACTGCAGCGACTTGTTCTCTGGTATGCGCGAATGCTGGCAGGAATGCTGATTTGTTGCTGGAATGTATGTGAAATGTGTAGATCGACGAGAACCTGGTGGCCAAGGTGGCAGACTTTGGTCTGTCCAAGGAGAGCAACAAGACCGCTGGCGTCACCGTGGGCGATGTCGGAACAGTCAACTGGTACGCCCCGAGCTCTACTTGGGTATTATTTCTTTCAGTTCTTTACTCTTTTATTTGGTTTTATTCAACTTTGTAGGACTGCGCCAGAGTTGATGGACGGCGGCCGGGCGTCGAAGGCGGCCGATGTGTATGCCTACGGCGTGGTGCTATGGGAGGTGCTCACCGGCGAGTTCCCCTTTTCCGATCTGACCACCTTCCAGGTCATCAAGGCGCTCTCCTGCGGCGAGCGCCCGCCCATCCCACGCACCTGCGACCCCGACTTTGCCCGCCTCATCACCGACTGTTGGCAGCAGGACCCGGCCCGGCGGCCCACCTTCATGGACATCCTGGCCCGGCTCGAGGTCATCTGGGAGCGGGTCAAGCAGTCCAACGACGCCGTCGACCAGATCGCGCTCCAGATGCAGCGCGCCTCCCAGCACAAGGCCGGCACGATCGGCGGCGGCCCGAGCCCGCGGGCGTCGATCACGGCCTCTTTCGCCTCTGAGGGCGCCATGGCGGGGGCCGCGGCCGCTGTGGGCCGCAAGCGGATTGAGGGCGCCGGCGGGCTGGTGGTGAACAATAGCAAAAACCGCGGCCGCGAGCCGAGCCCAGGCCGGCGCAGTCCGTCGCCGGGGGCCGGCGGCGACTACGACGACAGCGGCGGGGCCTACAAGACGGCGCCGGGGCAGTACGGCCGGAGGGACGAGTACGAGTATGACCAGGAGGACCAGCGCGGTGGTCACGCCCGCAGCAAGTCGGCCGATACGCGCCAGAACAAGCCGGCCGAGAAGAAGGAGAAGTCCAAGACCCTCAACCGCGACCGCGACCGCGACCGAGACCGCGACGGGCGCGACACCCGAGAGCGCGAGCGAGACAGGGAACGCGAACGCGAACGCGAAAGAGAACGAGAACGCGATCGTGAGCGCGAGAGGGAGCGCGATGCGAGAGAGCGCAATGCGAGGGAGCGTGATGTGAGGGAGCGTGAGAGAGAACGTGAACGCGAACGCGAGAGGGAGCGAGACAGAGAGCGTGACAGGGAGAAGACGCGGAAGGCGGGGAGCGGAGAGAAGAAGGAGCGCGACGCGAGGGAGCGGGAGCGGGAGCGGGAGCGGGAGAGGGACAGAGAGCGAGACACGAGGGATGCGAGGGACACGAGGGACTCGAGGGATGCGAGGGACAGGGAGAGGACGTCGTTGCGGAAGGGCGAGAAGGAGCGGCTGAAGGAGAGGGAAGCCAAGCGGGAGCGGGAGCAGAAGTCGGTCGACGCCATGAAGGAGATGGAGAACCTCTTCGACAACAACTTCTAGAGAGGAAGACAAGACAAGAAAAGAGAGAGAGAGACAGAGAACCAAAACACAACGACGAGAGATCGTCCAGTACTCTACTACACCACTACATCCGAATAAACCCTGGGTTCGCGCTACGTTCGCGTAGAAGACCTGTGATAATGTTCAAAATAAATTTTGGGGGGAGCTGTACAGACAGGTGAGGAGTGGTGTAGTGTGTAGTGCGTCACGAGCGGCCCGACAGCAGCTTCTTCTCGTGGTCCCTCGCATCGGCGACAGCCGTCACGTAGTCGCCTGTGATTCCCTCCCGGTCAACTCGCTGGTCAACTCACCGCAGAGAGCTCTCAACTCTCAATTCTGGTGGGACCCGACGTACAGATGAGGTGGTCGTTCATGAAGAAGGGCAGCACGAAGCGTATCAGGATTCGCAGCCAGCTCTCTCGGTGCAGATTCTTTATCACCTGTGTACGTCGTGTGTCGTGTGTCGTGTGTCGTGTCAGCGTGTGGGGTGGGGTGTGTAAAGCGAGAGCGCTCTGTACGTTGATGCTGGTGAGCCCGACGAGCTGGAGGTAGATGATGTGGTAGAGCTGCGCAGAGTCGACGACGCGGCCGGCCGGGTCGATGTACTTGAGGATGCCCACGTGCTTGTAGGACGTCCCCTGCGCCGCCACGCCCGTCACGAAGCACAGCAAATTGTTCCGAACCGAATCCACGTCCGGCAGCTGCGCAGCGGCCACCACAGCAGCTTAGCCAACCGCACGCACCGCACGCACCATCGCACGCACCGCACACAGCACACGCGCGAGCAAGAGTACCTCCTGGGACTCTTTGAGGGTTTTCTTGAGGAGGCGCTTGACGAGCCAGTAGGGGATACCCAGCGGCAGCCGCGGGATCACGTCGTTCCGGTTCACGAACCTGAACAGCCGGTCCCCTATCCTGTCCGTCATAAACTGCGCAAAATGTCTGTACGTGTCGTGTTGTGCGTGTGCGTGTGCGTGTGCGTGTGCAGGTGCGTGTGCGTGTGCAGGTGCGTGTGCAGGTGCGTGTGCGTGTGCGTGTGCGTGTGCGGACACAGGTCAGATTAGTTCAGAAGAGGGGGGGACGGTGATGTTGGCGTACACGTCGCCCAATCGCGGTTGGCCGAACGTGTAGACGCTCCCAATATTCTCCTCGCTGTCAGGGAAGTCCTGAAGAGAGCCGCCAAGCACGCGGCGTAAGTTAGATGCAGGCCTTGGGGGTCAATGGGGTACACACCTGCATCATCTGCGCCACGAACAGCGTGGCCAATGCCCCGCCCAGGCTGTGTCCCGTCACCCACAGCTTCCTAACCGGCTTGTTGTCTCTGTCATCACTCCACACCGTAAGACACGTGTGCGACGTGTGGCAACACACACACACACACACGACACACGACACACGACACACGACACACGACACACGACACACGACACACGACACACGACACACGACACACAACACACGCAACACAACACACGCAACACAACACAACACACACACACAACCGCACACGCAGGAGGCCTACGTACCGGTTGGCACAGCAGGGCGCGTAGGAGCGTTCGGGCCGGTGGAGGAGGCCCAGCTCGCGGAGGTCGCGGATGATCTGGTCGTAGGCGGGGGCCTTGAGGGAGCTGGCCTGCACCTTCTCGTGGTAGGCGTCGAGGCCCGTGATGCGCAGCGCCAGCCGGCGGTTCCACGAGAACACCGCCGCGGTCCACCGCAGGAGCGTCCCGATCACGTAGGTCTTCGCCCGGTAGAACCGCGACCGCCGCGCCGGCAGCACGTGCACGATCTCATCGTCTTTCGTGTGTGTGCGGTGGTGCGTGTCGCGTTGTGTCATGCGTGTGCGGTTGTGTGATTGTTGCGTCGTGAGTGTGTGCGTTGAGGCGACGAAAGGGGTAAGACGGAAGAGATTGTACCCAGCTCTTCGGCCATCGCCTGGGCCTTGGCTGCGCTCGCCCGCTCGAGCGGGTTGATGCCGAGAGCACTGAGGAACCCGGCATGCACATGACCTGGGCACCACCGCTGATGAGCGCGTTGGCGTTGGCGTTGGCGTTGGCGTTGGCGTTGGCGTTGGCGTTGGCGTTGGCGTTGGCGTTGGCGTTGGCGTTGGCGTTGGCGTTGCGTGCGGTGTGAAACGAGAGGGTACCGAGCTCGCCGGCTGGGATGAGGCTGGCCTGGAGGTCGGTGATGAGGTTCTTGAGGTTGAGCGGCTGCGTGCCGCAAAACACAAGCAGGGCCATATCGTCGTTGCTCGCCAGGTACGCCTTCGTGTAGTGGTACCTGCATGACCATTACACCGCGCGCTACACGTCAGCAACCAGGAATTCACTGAAATGCTCACTGAAAGGCACGCAAGGAATGCTGGGCGGGCGGCCGCTTGTGTGGTACCGGTAGACCTGGAAGTGGGGGAAGCCCCACTTGGCCACCTCGCAGCGGATGATGTCGGTGTTCTCGTAGGCCAGCTTGGCCGCGATGGCCATCGAATAGGCCTTGGCGTGCGAGTACTCCTCGTCGCCGAACTCGTAGCGCGCGTTCTCCTGCATGGCCTTGCGCTGCTGGTGCGCCTCGATTTCGCTCTACGCGCACGTCGCACATGTCAGCACACACGACACACACGACACACGACACGACACACGCGCGGATGAGGGCGTGCCTGTCGCTCCATGACGTCGTTGGTGGGCCAGATGGTGAAGGCGCCCTCGAAGCGGGTGTCGAGGCAGTTGACCAGCGAGTAGGGCCGGCCGGTCTCCTTGTGCCGGCCCACAAAGTGCTGCAGAAACCACCGCAGGTTGCGTTCGAACAGCACCAGCCCTGCACGCCACAACCACAACAACAACACACCACACTCGTCATCACCACCGCACACGACACACGACACACAGCACAGCACGACACGACACACGCGCGTGCGTACCATAAAACCAGACGAGAAAGGTGGCGCGTAGGACGTTGTTCAGAGTGCGCTCGAGGCCCGGGACGTGGCGGAGCCCACGCAGGATGGGCGCCAGAACGTGGGTCGTGACGACGTAGAGCCACCACGACAGCAGCCGCTTGCCCAGCGTCACGCCCACGGCCACGCCGGCGAAGGCGGCCACCGCGGCCACGCCACCGGCGGCCACGACCACCAGTGCGGCCGCGGCGGCGACCCAGACCCACCACCAGTCGCTGCCCCAGCCCCAGGACCACCACCAGCCCTCCTCGGCCACGGCGGCGGCGGCGACCAGGGCCAGGGCCAGCCCGAGGCCCAGGCCGAGCGCCCACCACCGCACGCGGCGGCGCTGGCGAGACACGAGCCGCTGGGCCTCAGCGGCGTGGTGTTGTTCGATTCGTTCCATCAATTCGCGCTTCGCGCGCACATCATCGTCAATGGCCACTTTTTCATCATTATCGTTATTACGGGCGGAGATTGCGGGGCTGGTGGTTGGGGGCTGGTGGTTGACGTCTGGTGGTGGGCGCCGGTACCGATGCCGCTTCTCCTCTGGCGCAGTTCTTGTCGTCCATCGCAGTCCTCCATTTCGCTTTTTTTTTCAAGTTTTTTACGATCTTCTTCGCCTCCGTTTGAGTTCTTCCGGCTTTGTTGGGTACACAGAAAACTTTTGACGCACAGTTCTGCCGAAATTCCGCTCGATCCCGCCCCATCTCAGCGCCAAGGTCGTCAACCGCACGCACCGCACACACCGCACACAGTGTGATGAGTCAAAATAAACTATGATACATTGAGGCTGTGTTGTTGGTGTTGTGGTGTTGTGGTGTTGATGTTGATTATATGGAGCAGCCGCCCTTGGCTTTGGGCGGCTTGGCCGGGTTCTTGAGCTTGACCTTGGAGCCGCCGGCGTCGGCCTCGCAGGCGCCCTCGCCCGTGCGCGCGTGGATGTCGCGGGCGAGCGTGACGAACACCTTGTCGACGTTCTCGCCCGATTTGGCCGACACCTCGAAGAACGGAATGCCGCGCGCCTCGGCGAACTCCTTGCCCAGACTCGCCGCCACCGCTCTCTTCACGCCCAAGTCCGTCTGTGTGCGTCGTCGCCGTCCTCACCGTTAGCGCACCGCACGCGTGTGCGATTGTGTGCGGTGTGTGCGGTGGTGCGTGCGGTACCTTGTTGCCGATGATGACCTTGTTGGTCTCTTTGGAGGTGTAGGTGTCGAGCTCTTCGATCCACCGGTCGAGCGCCTTGAAGCTCTCCTTGTCGGCGATGTCGTACACGAGCACCACCCCCTGCGCGCCTCGGTAGTAGCTGTTCGTCACCATACTGGACCAGACGACAATGTGCGTCGGTCAGCACCGAGAAGGAGTAAAAAGCAAAGACGACCATCAATAATATTATTATCAATAAATATGATAATTGCAGGGTAGTTGTGCGTGTTCATTATGAGCTCAGAAATTGTGACGAGAGTGAAAGGACCCATAAAATGGCCCTTGGGATGGTGATGGCGTTACGGAGCGACAATGTCATAAAAAAAAAAGATTTTAAAAAAGAAAAAGAAGGCGCATTACCTGAATCGCTCTTGGCCGGCCGTGTCCTTGGAGAGATTGAAAAAGCAATTGGGAAAGATGAGCGATTTTTGAAATGGTCTTAACTGAAGATGAGCGCGGGAGGTACCCAAATCTGTAGCTTGAGTGTTTTGCCTTCGGCGCTGACGGTCTTGAGCTTGAAATCCATGCCGAGACTGGTCACCGGCTCATCCGAGAAGGTGTTGTCGACCAGCTTGCAGATGAGCGACGACTTGCCCACCCCGCACTCACCCACCATAATCACCTTGAGCAGCTCCTCACCCAGAAGCTGCTGCTTGCCCTTGCCGCCGCCCTTCTTTGATGCAGCCCCGGCGTTCGTCTTTGACATGTTTGTTCTGCGAAGTAAAAGGTCCTCTGCGAAGTTTAGGTCCTAAGTCTAAAAGAACGAAGACGACAAAGAGCGAAGACACGGCGTGAAAGAAGAAAGAACTTGTCGAACAATTATGCGTTCACCCTTTTCATTCAGGCCGTGACGCGGATGACGTGGGATCAGCCACCCACGAAGCAGCAGCACCCCAGTCAAAACGGCACGTTCAGGTCAGACTGACCTGGCCTAGCACCTATTGCTGCGTGGCCCGCTGTGCGTTCTCCATTTCGCGAGTGGTTGGCCGAACACCTCCGCGCCACACGTGTCGACACGAACAAAGCAAAAAAACACGTGCGTGGAGGAATGCAAGTGGGTGGATGGGTGCCACCGCCTCTCTTTACAGTGTGGGTTGGAGGCTCGGCATAAAGAAGGGGGGGGAACAAGAGAGCAAGGTGCAGAGAAGCTCGCGGCACAGGCCGTGGTCCACTAGACTCTGGCCCCACCTTCGCTCTTCGCTCTTTGACGTCGCGCTTCGTTCTCCTCGGGGTGTGAAAGTGAGTGAAGTTGAGTTGACTTGTCAGCCGTGCTTGCTGGGTTGTGTAGAAGAGGATGACGACGATGACGACAACGACGACGATGACGAAGACGAAGACGACGAAGATGAAGATGACCAGCCACGAACCCAACTCCGCGGGCCCATGTCGCTGTTCCGTCGGAAGAGGCGCAGCACTCCCTTGGGCTTCTTCTTCTTCTCGCCCTCTGCCCCTCCGCCCGCCGTGTCGTGTTCATCCGCCGCAGCCGCCGCACCGTCGCCATCGTCGCCGTCGGGCGTGCTGTGTCGTCGCTGCTCGGGGCTGAAGTCGCCCGGGGCCGGCGCCTCGTAGTCTGGGTGGAGCCGGCCGTGGTCGCCCACGGCGGAGGCGATGACCTCGAGCGCCTCCTGCTGGCGCTGCCGTCGGTAGTACTGGTACTGCAGGTGCTGCTGGTGCTTCTGCCGCTTCTGCTGTTCCTGCTCGAGCAGAAGGGCGCGCGTGTGCGGTTGTGCGTGTGCGTGTGCGATAACGGTTACGCGTGGAACAAACAAGAGCCAATACCACTTGCCCGGCAACAAATGAAATAAATAATAAAGTGAATAATACGTATTTCCATTTTTATTTGGCAAATAAAAATGTAAAAATAAAATAAAACGTATTATTATATTAAAATAAAAAAATGCGAAAAAAAGAATGGAGAGGTACGGGGTCGTGTGGCGAGGGCGAGGTGAAGGCTTCGATGTCGACCCCCTGGGCGAGATCGAAGAGGGCGAGGGGCGCATCGTCGGCAGCCGATTCGAGGGCCGACGTGACGAACGAAAATCGGCGGTAGGGTCCGCCGTAGTCGGGGCTGCTCTGCAGGAGGGCCTTCAGGTCGCCCACGGTGGCCTCGCCCGCATCCAGGCACTTGTCTGTCACCTCGAACTCGGACAATCGCTCGCCGGCAAAGACCCGCAGCTTCAGTCGTCCTCCACCTCCACCTCCACCGCCCCCTCCTCCATCTTTGCTGTTCATGTCTTTTCTCGATTTATGTAATGATTCTTTTTTCTATTTTTAAATCGCTTCTCGATCAAGTGCGCGTGAATGTCTTAGTGTATACGTGATAAGATCCAGATGAGCTGCTGCTGCTGCGCAGATGGAGGAGCTCTATCTGGTCTCTGGCCCAGCTGGCAGCAGTGTGTGCGTGTTTTGTTGTGCGTAGCAAAACAAAAGACAATTTGAGCGAACTGGGCGCGTGAAACACTCCGCGCTCACCAACGGCGCGCGAATGCCAAAGCCTCGTGGCTTGATCGTTGTCCTCTCGCCGGTTGAACTGGTCCACGCACCATTCGAACTACGACGACGACAGCAGCTGTGCGCCTAGAAACACACAAATCGTCTGTCTTGCACTTTGTCAATAGAAGATGTGTAGTTCTTTTGTACGTTTGTTTATTGTTTGTGTTTACTTTTTCGCGAAGCTGTGTGGGAGGGTAAGGAAGAACATGTCAACCTGACATGAGCAGAACGTCGATGAAGAGGGGATCAAGCCTGGGCCTCCTCCTTCTTCTCGGCACCATCGGCCTCGGCAGCGGCAGGTTCGCTGTCGGCGGCTTGCTCGGTGGTTTCCGGCGCGGCGGCGGCGGCGGCGGCCGAGGCCGCTTCGGCGTCGAGTTGGGCGGCAAGCTCCTCGAGCGCGGCGTCGGCGGGCGCGACGCCGGTCAGCGCGCGCAGCAGGCCGGCCGCCGGCTGGGCTAGGTTGGCCGACGTGGCCTCCTCGGCTAGCGTGTTGGCCCACTTCTCGAACTGCTCCGTACTTCCCAACACGAACACACACCACGTCAGCGCGTGCAACACACACACACCGCACACGGTGGCGCGCACACTAACGAGAGGGGTGAGGGTTAACACGTACGTGGCGGGTGTGGCGGTGACAGCTTGCCGTACGAGGTCGGCGGCGGCAGACACGTTGTTGGCCTGCAGGTGGGCGAGCGAGGCATACAGGGCGCCGTCCAACGACCGCGTAGTGTCGCTCGTCTGCTCCACGAGCGACCGCAGCCCTGCACAACACCTCCATCAGCACATTGTGCAACACAGAACACACGCACACGCACCACCGCACACGCTCTCGCATTATCGCACGACACGCAACACGCAACACGCAACACACACGCGACGCGACACAACACAACACGAGCATGCGCACCCTCAAAGTTTTGCGCCTTCCAGTGGACGCCCATGAGGGCATCGGCCACGGGGCCGGGGAGGGTCTCGGTCTGGAGCGCGCGCTTGGCCTCATCGGCCGCGGCCAGGGCCTGGTCGGCGTTGCCCTGCGCCGCATGGGCGCGCACCAGCAGACCGAACGTCTGGGCGTTGGGCACCACCTGGCGCTTGCGCAGCGCGCCGTAGGTGAGCACGGCGCCCTCGTGGTCGCCGGCGGCCATGAAGTCGGCCATGAGCCGGTTGAACTGGCGCGCGAGGGGCCACACGCGGTACTTGGCCGAGTTGACAAAGAGCTCGAGCGCGCGTCGCGGCTCGCCGGCGCGCCGGCACGCGTGGATGATCTCCCAGATCATGTGCTCGTTGGGCTCGACCAGCTGCGACTGCGCAAAGTAGAAGGCCTCCAGGGCGCGGTCGAGGTGGGCCGGGGTCTGGGCCTTGCGGAAGAGGTGGGTGACGAAGCCCGCGCGAATGGTGCCATACTCGGCGAAGCGCGACTGGAGGACCTCGTAGGCCTCCTCGGCCGTCAGCCGCTCGATGCCCGCCAGCCCGTTCCCGTCCAGCTTCTTTTGCGCCTCCCTGTGTACATTGCATTGCATTGCGCGTGTCGTGTCGCGCGTGTCGTGTCGTGTCGTGCGTTCGTACCGCGCGTGTCATGGTGTGAGTGTTGTGTGAAGGGCTACAGAGCAGGCCACGCGGTAATCGCAGGAAGGTGTGATGGGGGCGAACCGTAGGGTGGCGGAGATGGGCATGGTGGCCAGCGCGCGGGTGCTCCACAGCTGCTGGCTCGAGGTGGCGGCCAGCGCGAGCCGGGCAGAGCCTTCCCTTCCTTCTCGCGCGTAGCGGCACAGCGAAAAGATTAATGAATGAATGAAGTGCGCGAAAATAAATAAATAAATCGAAGCCAGCGAGCAGCTACAAAGGCATCGAAATCAAGTCGAAATCGAAAAATTAAAGCAAATGAAATGCTCCGCATCCTGAGGGGGCGGGTACCGGCGGCGACGCTGGAAAGGAGGGCAGAGGGTCGAGGGCTCGCTTGGCGGAACGATCGGCGCATCAGCATCTCCGCTGCTATGTGTAGTTGAGATAGATCAGATGATTTCCAAAAGAAATAAAACCAGCCGATTGAGAAAATAGCAAAGAAAATGGGTATGGCGATTTTATTTCGTATTTAATTTACGCCCGCAGGCAACACTGTCGCGATGGTGGTGAAGACGAGGTGAGGAAGATGGTGGTGGCGATGATCTATCTATCATCAAAGAAGAAAGAGGGCGATGGTCACAACTCTTTTTTTCATGAAGAGGAGGAGCCGCCTCTCTTAAAGAGGTAGTCGCCGACGACCGAGAGGCCGGCCTTGCCCAGCTCGCCGATCTTGCCGGTACCGTAGGGCCGGTCGCCGATCACCTCGCCCGTGTGCCCGTTGATCACCACCTGACCACGGCAACGACGACGACGATGACGAAGACCAGCGAACATGAAGAAGACAATGACGATTACAGTGAGCCAACACCTACGAAGCGATGGAAACAAGATCATGAAGAAGAGGGGGAGGTGCGTACCCGGTAGAGTTTGCCGTTGTACTGATAGGAGGTGAGGCACACGGGGAAGTAGACCAGCCGCCTGTTGAGCTGCACCTGGTAGTTGAGCGCCACCTGTCCATGTGCAACACGACACACGGCACGACACACACGACACACGACACACGACACACGACACACACGACACACGACACACGACACACGACACACGACACACGACACACGACACACGACACACGACACACGCGAGAAAGAAGTGAAACGTTTAGGAGGGAGGTGACGATAGAGGTGCAGTGAAGGAAAACGCGCGACGTACGTCTTTGACTTTGTCGGCGCCGTTTTCGACGCGGAGCTTGTTGGAGCACTCCTGGGTCTCGAGCTTGACTAGCTCGGCCTCGAACTCCTTCCACACGCCCTCCCACGGCAGCGCCGGCAGCAGCAGGTTCGGAGGCGGGGGCTGCGATATTACATTTCGCACACGACACGCGACACACGCACGACACACGACACGCACGACACGCGACACACGCACGACACGATCCGCAAGGTGTCGGCGCTACGAGCAGGCGCAGTGCGCGGATGGCGACGGCGCGTACCTTGACGACAGTGGCGGGCATGGCCGCGGCCTTTTCCACCGAATCTGCGATCTTCTTGAAGAACTTGCCCACGGCCCAGCCCTCCTGCTCGCCAACACACACCACCACCGCACACGCACATCGCACGCAACACACACATCGCACACGCACACGCACACGCACACAGTGAGAAACGCTCGAGAGACACGATGTTTCAGGCGGGCCGCACCTCGGCGGGCTGTTGGTGCTGCGGCGGCTGCTGCTGGGGGGCCTGCGGCGGCTGCTGCGGGTTGCGGTCCACGCCAAAGTGGATCTTGTTGACCTGCCAGGGCGCCGTGAACTGCTGGACAAGCTTGCGCTCCTGGACCGACTGGCACGCGCACACGGTCTTGTGCGGGTAGAGCGCCGAGCGGTTGCCCTGGGCCTCGCTCCACGACTCCACCTTCTTGGCCTGCGCGTCGCTGCCGGTCATCACCACCCGACACACCTTGCCTGCACCAACTCGTAATGTCACTCGATGTCGCACACACCGCACACACCGCACACACCGCACACACCGCACAGGTGCGGGGTACCTTGGTAGGCGGTCTGGACCTTGACGTCGAACATCCAGAAGGGGACGAAGACGAACTGCATGGTGGCGCTCTGCACGTTGTCGAAGAAGCCCGCGGGCTTGAACCACAGGGACTCGAGCCACCCGTTGAACTTCTGCCGGATGCCCTCCTTCTGCAGCAAAAAGTTTGAAAAATTGATGCGCCCCGCGTCCTGCTCGCACGACACGCATCGCACGTGAGATGAGATACGGCGACAGTGGCAACCGTGCGTGGTCAGAGAGCGATGGCTGCGCTACGCACCTGGTGCTGGCTGTGGTCCGTCACCGCCTGCGAGTGGTGGTGGTGATGCTGGGCCGGAGCGGCGGGCCTCTGTCGTGTTCGTGCGACCGTCAGTCAGCACACGAACCGCACACAGACACGTGCACAGCGAATGAATCGATGCGGCGTACCGGGGGAGCTGCTGCAGAGTGGGCGACCGCGGCGGCCGGAGCGGCAGCGGCGGCGGTGGTGGCCGTGGCAGCCGGCGCGGTGCTCGACTTGGTGGTGAAGAACGATAGGACCCCGGACGAGGTCGATGATGACGACGACGAGGACGAAGCCGACGCGGATGACGACGCGGCCTTGGTGGAGTCTTTCTTGGAGAACCAGCTCGCGGGCGACATCGAAGAGAGGTAAGACGACGTCGAAGTCGATCCAGACACAGTCGACGACGATGAGTCTGAGGCGGAGGTCGCCGGCGGCGGAGACGAGGAGAGGCCGGCCGACGACGCGGAGGGCGGCGATGACGACAGCATGGGGTAGGCCGACGCGGACGACGACGGGTGATAGGGTGACGACGATGGGTACATGGAGGTCATCGACGACGAAGAGGCGGTGGCCGACGACGACGATGACGACGTGGGCGTGACGCGCGAGGGCACGACGGAGGAGACCCGGTAGCTGCTCTGGGCCGTCGGGGTGGTGGGCGCCGACGTGGCGGCGGCGGGCGATGAAGGCGGCGGCGACGATGAGAGAAAGGCCAGCGGCGCCTTCTTGGCCGGCGCCGGCGCCGGCATGGCGAACGGATCTCCGTTCGGGAAGTACGGGTTGGCCGACACCGGCGTCGAGCTCTTGGCCTCCTACAAAACACAAACGACACGACACGCGACACGCGACACACGACACGGTCAGTCGCCGACCACCACGCGTGGACAGAAGGGCTGACGATGAATGAGACACGACGTACGGTGAGAAGGAATTTGGTGAATTCGTCCATGCTCTCGGTGAGGTCCTCGCGCACGGCGAGCTTGGCGTGCTGCGGCGTGGCCGGCTTGGCCGGTGCGGCCGCGGCCACGGTGGCGGGCACGGGCGCCAGGAACGAAGTCGACGACGCGAACGGACTCGAGCCACCGCCACCACCGCCGAAGAAGTCCACCGGCGCTGCCGCCGCTGAAGCGGGCTGGAGCAGGTCGCCAAAGGGATCGAACGCGGCCGGCGCTCCCGACGGGCGCGCAGCCGGCGCCGCCGCAGACGTAGGTGCGGCAGACACAGGCGAGAGCATCGGCATGAGCGCAGGTGCCGGCTGGTGCTGCGGGATCGTCGGGGGCAAGGCGGCCTGGAAGTCCTGGAAATCGTAGGCGCCGCCGGCGGAGGTGTCATCGGCCTCGTCGGGCGGCGCGGATCGGGCGGCAGCTTCGGCGCGGTCGGCCAGATCGTAGTTCTTCTGGAGCCCGTCGACGCCCATCAGTGGCGGCAATCGCTCCTGGCGTCCGCACACCAGGCAACCCACCGCGCCCACTCCAGCTGCGGCCAACATCAATAAAGCACGTTATTATTTGTATTTATCTGAAAGTCTCCTATTTGTTATTTATTTGTCCATTTGCTTATTTATTTGTTTTGTTTTGTTTTTTTTTTTTTTGATATTCTCTCATTATCATTTGGGGAAACAAGGCGGACGATGTACCTGCGCTTTGGGTCAGGCAGGAGGCGCAGTAGCTGTGCCCGCAACCGAGGGTGCGGGGATCGTTGTAGTAGTGCCCGCACATTCCGCATCGCAGTTCATCTGCTGTGTTCCCCCATAACCCGAGCGATAGGGAGGCGGCATTGGTCGCAGCTCCAGTTCCTGTGTTGCCCCATGCTGGCTCGCCCCAGCCTCCAAACAGGTCGTCCCCGTTCATCTTAGCTCGCAAATCGATGGCTGAGAGCAAAATTGATTTTGAATGTCTTCTACTCGAACAAGAAGACGTAGCTTGGTTGTAGAATGAAGGATGTTTGTTGAGCTGAGAGAGATTGTTGGTGGGGAGAAGATGCAGGCCCGCAGTGCGGATGCAATCTCTCAGTAGCTCTGGGAAATCAAGAAACAGAAAACGCACTGGAAAGCCAGTGAAGACGAACACGTGGTGGCCGCCTCCATTTTCTTTTTGCTTTCCTTCTACTTCTACTTCGGCCACGATGAAGTGGACGTCGTGGCGATGTAGTGGTAGAGAGCGTTCTTCTTCTTCTTCAAAAAAGATAACAATCAGGAGAACAACAACGAGTAGGACACTACAACTACGACTACTTACTGCATGTCCATGAGCATGGCCTTGGGGTTCTCGAGGTAGTTCTTCCACAGGTTGGAGAAGTTGGCCATGGTGGCGCCGTCGATGACCCTGTGGTCGGCCGACCAGCTGGCGATCATGATGTGGGTCGGCACGACATTGCCGCGCTCGTCGAACCTGGGCAGCTTCTGGATCTTGCCCAGCGCGCCGATGGTGACCTCGGGCGGCATGAGGACGGGCTTGGCGTAGGTGCCGCCGATGACGCCGATGTTGGAGAGGGTGAAGGTGCCGCCGGTGAGGTCCTCCTTGCCCAGACGGCCCTCCTTGCCGAGGCGCTGGAGGCGGTTGAGCTCCTGCGCGATCTCGAAGATGGTGAGCACCTGGACGTCCTTGATGTTGGGCACGATGAGGCCCTGCGGGGTGTCCATCGCGACGCCGAGGTTGTGGCTGGCCTTGTAGATGATCTTGCTCACGTCGGCGTTGACGCTCGAGTTGAGCACCGGGTAGCTCTTGAGCGCCAGCGAGATGGCCTTGAGGATGAAGGGCATGTAGCTCAGCTTCACCCCGCGCGCCTCCGCGATCGGCTTCAGCTCGTCGCGCAGCGCCACCATCTGGTCGACCACGATCTCGTCCGAGTAGCCAAAGTGGGGGATCTGGTTGGCCGCGGTCATGGTCTTCACCATCGCGCGCTGCAGGCCGCGGATCTCCACCTCGCGATCGGCGCCCACGACGGCCTTGCGGGCCACGACGTGGGCGAGCCCGCCGGCCTCGGTCGTGGTTGTGGTGGTGACGGACGGCGGCAGGGGCGGCACGGCGCCGGCGGCCGTGGGGAGCGCGAACTGCGGCGGGGCCTGGTGCGCGAGCGGGCTGCCCTCGAGGTAGGCCAGCACGTCCTCCTTGAGCACGCGACCGTCGCGCCCGGTGCCGGCGACCTTGCTCAGATCGATGCTGTTCTCCTTGGCGATCCTTCGCACGGCGGGCGTGGTGAGGACGGGGCCGGAATGGCCCGAAGAAGAAGAAGAGGATGAAGATGGAGATGATTGGGATGATGAAGATGAAGACGAAGAGGGAGAGGGGGCCGCGGCGGCAGCGGCAGGCGCGGCACTCTCGGAGGCATCGAGAAGAATGTCGACGAGAGGGGTGTGGACCTTGGCCAAATCGCCCACCGCGTAGTGGATTTTGGTGATTTTGCCCGTGTAGCGCGACGTGACCTCGACATTGGCCTTGTCGCTCTGCAGCTCGGCGATGGGCTGGAACTCTTCGATGCGATCGCCCTCCTTCACGTGCCATTTGAGTACTTCGCATTCGGTAATTCCCTCGCCTACGTCGGCCAGATTAAACTGGATCGTCTGACCGCTGCTCGCGACCCGCGTGGCGTGGAATCCTCGACGGGCCGTCGAGATGGTGGCCGAAAGCGGAATCGTCTCTTTCGCCAGCACCCCTCGGCAGCCCGTCATGAGAGACGCGCTGCATTCCACTCGCGGGACATTCCGGGTCGCATTCGTCCGCAAGGCTCGCGAGAAGATGGAGCGCGAGGCGGGGGCGCGAGAGGTGGAAGCAGAAGCGAATCGTCTCATCTGCGCTTTCTTCTTGTGCTATGATAAAGGATAAAGGATTAAAATATAATGAAAAGACTAAACCCATTAAATATAAATTAATAATATTTATTTAGCTCCGGCGATAGGGTGGGATCACTGGGCCAGGAGAACAGAAAGGAGTGTTGTAATGAGTTGCAAACCTCCACAGCTTAGGGTGGTGGTGTGATGGATGTTGTGAGTGATGGTGATGGTGGTGGTGTGAGGAGACTTCGCCAACGCTGTTGGTTTTACAAATGGCAAGAAAAGAAAAGAAGAGAGAAAACCTTGTTGCCACAAACAGAGATGAGTTCGGCCGGAGTAGAGACGTGCATCCGATGTGCCAAGCGGGGCACCCTCCGATGTTCGCGCTGCAAGGCCGTCTACTATTGCTCCCCACAATGCCAGAAAGAGGTGCCGCCATTATGTCCCTCATCATCACCATGACTTGTCATCTCAATTTTATGTCAGTAGAAGAACACCCCAACCATCATCGTTTTCGTGGTAATCGTGTTTGCATTATTGTTCCCTCCTGACACGGCTTATACGCTGCACGGGCGCGCGGATGTGGCTGGCACAGCACTGGGTGAGCGGTCACAAGGGCCAGTGCGGGGCACTGAGCGCCCAGAAGCAGTACATCGCCACCACCGCCGCCGCTACCACCGCCTCGGCCAAGCAGCAGGCTCCCCAGAAGACTGCAGCACCGCAGCCGCAGCCGTCTCTCAAGAAGTCCACCGAGGCCACCAACGCTGCGCCGTCCCTCTTTTCCCCCACGCAGCGTACGCCACACACCACACACACACACCACACACACGCACACCGCACACGCACACGCACAACGCGTCGCGCGCGCATTGACTGACTCGTTGTGGGGTCCGATGGTGGTAATGACTGCAGTGAGCAATCTGCTGTCGACGCGGCCGCAGGAGCTGGGCGTGGGACTGGTCAACCGGGGCAACACGTGCTACATCAACTCGGTGCTCCAGTGTTTCTCGCACACGGCACCCCTGCGGGCCTACCTCGCGTCGAGCGAACACTCGCGCTCCTGTACGACCACGACACGCACGACACGCACGACACGCTGCACACACCTCCAAGAGAATTGACCGGTGATTGTTATCTGTGCGCGCGTCACGTGTGGTGTCGTTGGTGTGTGCGGTGTGTGTCGTGCGTGTCGCGCAGGCAAGGTGAGAACGCACGGCTTCTGTTTGCTATGTGCGCTGGAGGAGCACACCAAGCAACTGTTTCGGGTCAAGAACGAGTTTTTCCCGCGCGACATCTTCCTCAACCTCCAACGTACCCCTCACCCTCACACCATCCACACCACCTCTCGACAACCCACGAGATCGCCATCACTCGTTTCCCTTCTTACTTCTTTACATCTTATTATACATTTATTCTTATTCTTATTATTTGCAACATGTTGTTAATTGTTCTTCTCCGTAGAAATCGGCGACTTCCGACCATTCGCTCAGGAGGACGCTCATGTAGTCGTCGTGTTCACTCTCTTGCGATTGCTTTGTGCTATACAACGACGCCAGCTCGAGCTCTAATTCTCTTCGTTCTTCTTCGTTTTTCGTTCTTCGCTCAGGAATTCGCGAGCAGCGTGATGATGGGCATGCAGTCCAGCATTCTCCAAAACTACCGCGCGCAGCACCCCAACGGTCCGCCCAACCTCGGCCCCGGCTTCGAAGAGACCAGCCTCGTCTACCAGCTCTTTGGCGGTACACCGACGCCTCCCCCCCGATCATCGTTCTTCCCATGCGGTAAAGCAGCTCACTCACACCTCGTTTCGTCTTTCTCGCACAGGCCGTTCCCGCAGCAGGTTCGGGCACACACCGCACACACCGCACACACCGCACACACCGCACACACCGCGCGCGCACGCACGCGACACAGTGAGTTTATTTCTCTTTTTTTTGTTGATTCGAATGAAGGGTGCGATGCGGAGCGTGTTCGGCGATTGTGACGAACTATGAGCCCTTCCTGGACCTCAATCTGGAGCTGTCGGCCGGGGCGTCGCTGGAGGAGGCCCTCGACAGCTACACCACAATCGAACACTTTGACCTTTCAACCGGCTACAAATGTGGAAGGTAGACACGACACGATACGACACGACGCGCGAGGCTTACGCGCATGTGGGTGTGGGTGTGGGTGTGGGTGACCATGTTGGCAGGTGCAACAAGGTGGTGACGGCCCAGAAGCAGCTGACGGTGGACAGGGCGCCGCCTATTCTGGTGGTGCAGCTCAAGCGATTCGACGTCATGAGCGGCGGCGGAAAGATCAATAAGACCGTCACCTTCCGCGAGCAGCTCGACATCGCCAAGGTGATGAGCGAAGACAAGAAGGTGCGCTACATCCGTCTCTCCGCACTCACGCGCGCGCTAGTCAACATTGTTAACGTGTGTTGTGTAATCGCACACCGCACACGCCACCGCACACATTGTAGGAGGAGGGAGGCGTGCTCTACGAACTGTACGGCACGATCGTGCATTACGGCCGCACCATGTTCAGTGGACACTACGTGTCGTTCATCAAATCCAACGGCCTCTGGCACCTATTCGACGACGACCAGGTAACGCCGCACGCACCGCATGCACCGCACACACACGACGGGCTAACACGACACGCGCGTGTGTGGTGAGCGTTTTTGTGCAGGTGGTGGAGGTCAACAACGCCATCGTGCTCAAGCAGAACGCGTACATGCTGTTCTTCCAGCGGGTCTACACGCCCGAGCAGATGGCGAGGCAGGAGCAGCAGCTGCTGCAGCTGCCCCAACAGCTCTCGCTGCCCCAGGAGTCCCAGCAGCAGCAGCAGCAGCAACAGCAGAGCAAGAGCCAGCGGCGACGAAACAACAAAAAGACGAACGAGGCCAACAACGCTCAGCAGCAGCAGCAGACGGCCGCACCAGCAGTGGCCACGGAGGCGAAGGCGGAGCCGCCGCCGGAGTGGAAGCTGCCCAAGTACCGCGTGTTCTACACCGAGGAGGAGAGCGGGGAGGAAAGCTGGATCAAGGACCTCCTGCTCGTCGCCGAGGTGCCCGCCGAGGTACCCACGCACCACACCCCAGCCACGCGCGTGTGCTTCGGGGGGCTGACTGTAGTGCGGTGGTGGTGGTGGTTTGTAAGGCAAACGACGCGTCAAGGCGCTGGCGGTTGTCGGTGGAGTCGAGCGGGCGCCTGACCCTCCACGACGACACCGCCCACTACCGCCTGGAGATATCCTTTCACCGCCCGCGTCGTGCGTGTCCTGAGTGCGTGTCATGTTGTATGTGCGTGTGCGGTGGTGCGTGTGTGTCGTGTGCGGCGTTGTGTGTACTATCTCCTTGACTCCGGGTACCTTCAGCTGCCGTTTGAAGTGGACCCCAAGGCGGCGCGGGCCTCGTTCTACCAGGCCAACGCCACCCTTGTCGCGACCATGCCCCTCAAGCGCGACGACGCCGACGCCGACGCCGACGCCACCAAGCCGGACCACCAGGCCACCAGCGCCGCCGCCGACGTCGAGGTGGCCCTGCTCCCCGACCGCCGCTTCGTGCTCAAGGAGATAGGCGTCGACCCCGAGAAGGAGCTCAACGTCGAGCCCGTCGCCACCGAGGAGAAGGAGAAGGAGGTGGAAACTGTTGCGGCCACCACCACTAAGCCCGCCGACGCCGCCGCCAGCACCACCAGCGATGATGACAAGAAGGTGCCAACTACAGCGCCCGCGCTGCCGTTCATGGACCTGGGGCGGTTGAAGCAGGCGCTGGCAGATGAGAGCAACAAGGAGGAGGCCAGCTATGCGAAGCTGTGGGACGACATCCGCGCGTTCTACGCGGCGGTCAAGTCGGGCGACGCGGCGGGCTACCTGCAGCTGCGTAGCGCGATCCAGCGACAGGAGGCCCAGCGCAGCCAGCAGCTGGCGCAGGACGACGAGGAGCAGTTCATGCTCAAGCTCAAGAAGACCAAACGCAACGACCCGTGCCCGTGCAACAGCGGCCGCAAGTTCAAGCAGTGCCATGGCATGGCTTGATCTGCACCAGATGAAGATTGGCGCTACACAAATCAATATTTATTGTTTGTTTTTTATTGTTTGTAATTTCTTTTATTTGGGAGTGAATAGTCGATCGATGAATCGATAGATGGCAACGGAGGAGGTGATTTACACGGTGGTGGGGTGGGAGCAGCTGCCGCTGGCTCACTACTCTTCCTATGCCGGCACCTTCCGCGCCTTTGTTGAGGAGGCCGCACGGCACATCGACATCCCCACCGCCCCTCGTCTCTCTCACAAGTACACCCCCCTGGGCTCCCCTCCTGGCCCTACTTCCTTCTTTATCCACATGCACTATAGTATCTCCATCTCTTCATTTCTGATTATTAATTAAATCTCTCCTCTACGCGAAATGCTCAAAACACAAAATGTGATGTGATGTGTGCCACAGGTATGGAGAGTTCGTGCTGCACAGCCTGGTGAACGAGAGGGAGCCGCGGGTGACGTTCACCTGCCTCACGGGCGACAAGTTCCCGCAGCCCCTGGCCTACGCCTACCTGGCCGCCGTGCGCCGCGAGTTCTTCCGCCGCTACCCGCTCCCCATGGACAAGAACACCACCCTACGATGTACGTACATCGCTCTTCACGACGAGTTGCACGTGTGTGTCGAGTGCGCGTGTCGTGTCGTGTCGTGTCGTGTCGTGTCGTGTCGTGTCGTGTTCTGCTAGCGCAACTGACATGTGCGTGTGCGCGCACGTGTGCGTCCAGTTGAGCTGAACGGCTTCTCACAACAAATCCGACGGCTGGTGCGAAAGTACAGAGAATCAAAGAACATCAAACGAATGAAGGTGATCAACGCATTCGTGTCGTGAGTGTGTCGTGTGTGTCGTGTGTGTGTCGTGTGTGTGTCGTGTGCGACACATCGTGTCACGCGTTATTGCTCACGTTGCCGTGTTCGTCGTGTGGGCGTGTGTAGGAGGAAGAATTCAAGGGCGAGGCGATCGAGCCGGTGGCGATGATCAAGCTGGACGAACTCTACCCGGGTCTGCTCAAGAAGCCCCTCATGGTCCGCCATCTCCAGGACCCATCCCTCCAACTCCGCGGTACCGCACACACCGCACACACCGCACACGCGCACGAACACACCGCACGCGTCGCGCACACCGCACACAAATACACAGACACACCGCACACGCCCAGCGACACACGATGAGCTGATGGATAGTGATAACCGGCACAGGGGCGTCGCGCAAGTCGAACAACTTCTTCCTCTCGCAATTCCTCATCCGACACCCGTTCCTCACGATCGGTCTGTTCATCTTCGCTGCGGTCGTCGTCTTCATCTACTTCGTCGTCCTGGTGCCATTATGCGGCAACGACCTCCAGGTACCACCAAAGCCACCCTTTTTGGTGTGTGCGTGTGTGTGTGTGCGTGCGTGTGTGCGTGCGTGTGCGGTGGTGCGTGTGCGTGTGCGTGTGGCGTTGTGGAGGCTCACCCGAGGCAACGTTGCATGCGTTGTGTTCGCCCCTTCCAGAAAGTGGGAGACAATGGGAAGCATGTGTGCTGGATCAACTGAGACCAAGCGCACGACACGCACGACACGCACGACACGCCCACCACAACACTCCCCTTTGCTTGTACACTCAGTCGCCGATCCGCCAATGAAAATTCAAAGAAAAGAAGAAATGCGAACTTTCACTAACACAAGAAATTTGGCACTCCATTTAGGCCAAAAAGCAAGACCTTGGTACTACTCCCCCCCCACCCACAAGGCTAGACGAGACAGGTAAGGCCCGCCCGTGTTGTTGCTGACGTGCTTCTCTCTCATTGCGTTCTTCAAACCAGCTGGCAATCAATCGTTACATTCAGTTCCGATCTCAGTGGCACGCAGTCGTAATCACCTCGAGCAATCATGGGCAAGTTGTTCAAGTCGTACCTTTCGGGGCCTGGAGTCTACAAGTGCCACAGCTGCGACACGCACCTCGCCAAGCACGGCGACATCATCTCAAAGGTGTGCTGACCCCTCTTGATGAAATCATCTTTCCAGCATCATCATCTTCTGTAGCTTGGTGTAAGATTGATGTAGCAGCTCCAATTTCCCTCATCTGCTGACCATCCATGTGTGGCCCCCACAGGCATTTCAAAGTCGAAGCGGGAAGGCCTACTTATTCGACAAGGTGGTCAACGTTACCAGCGGACCCAAGGAGGTGCGCGCCTCACCTGCGCGAGCGCTCTTCTCAACCCTTCTAAAGTGTGCGTGTCGTGTCGTGTCGTGTTGTGCGTTTAGGACCGGATTCTGATCACGGGGCTGCACACGGTGGCGGACGTGTTCTGCAGCGATTGCCAGGCCTACGTCGGGTGGAAGTACGAGGAGGCCTTCGAGGAGAGCCAGAAGTACAAGGAGGGCAAGTTCATCCTCGAGAAGGCCAAGATCGTCAAGAAGTCCTACAGCGAATGAGCGCATGAATGACCACTACCATCTTCTTCTTCCTCCTCATCGTCATCTTCATCTTCATCATTACCACTTCTCACCAAATGTGAATAGCCTGTACACACACCACCATAAAGATCAATTGAATAACACTGCGCACAACACTCGTGTTGTGAATATATTGGTTGTATAGTGTTGATATGTTACACGTCGGCGATCCTCGCGTGTTGTTCTTCGAGGGTCTTTTGGAGTCGTCGCATCTTGATGATCTGCTCAAACACGTTGTTCTGCGACAGCAGTTCCTTGAGCTCGTCTTCCGTCACGTCTGCTCGATCGAGACGCGAACTCGTGAGCTCATCGCACGACACTCACACGACACACACGCACACGACACACGCATCGTGACAAAGAGGAAGAAGAGGAGGCGAACCGAAGCCGTCGGCGGACGAGGCGGGGCAGCTCTCGAGGAACTTGTTGACGGTGGTCTCGGCCTGGTCCACAGCCGCGATGAGGGCGTGCAGGTGCACCAGATCCTTCTCCCGCCACGCGTTCGCTGCCTTGCTGATCGCGTTGCTGTTGTGCAAGGCGCGCGGCATGTCAGTGTGTGCGGTGTGTGCGGTGGTGCGTGTGCGTGTGCGGTGGTGCGTGTGACTGACCTGTCCTTGGCGGAATGGCTGTTGCCGGAGGACTCCTTCATCATCTGTACGATCTTCTCCGTGCGCTTGTGGATGAGGACCAGCTTGTCCCACAGCTTGCGCAGGTAGACGCCCATCCACCCAAAGTACTCCTCCAGCGCGTCCTCGAACGACTCGTTGAACCGCTGCATGTCCTCCCTCGACACCTGCACCACATTATAATTATTATTGTTATTATTTATATATTATTTACCAATAAAATTAAAATTATAAAATTAAAATAAATGATAAGAATGAGAAGAATGGAGGGGAAAATACCTCGCAGAGCTGTTTGTCGACGAGTTGGATGAGTTCGCCTATGATCTTGTGGGTGGTCTCGCTGGTGCGGCCGCCGCTGGGCTCCGAGGGGTTGGGGGCGGTGGGGGACTTGGGCGAGTGGGTGTGGAGGAGGACCTCCTGGGTGCGGTGCCACACCTCGCGGTCGACGCACAGGGCCTCGTACAGCATCGACCCGTCGGGTCGCGACGTCTTCACCGCCTGCAGGATCCGCTTCTCCAGATTCAGGATCTGGAACGCCAGCCGCACCTGCACACGCACACACACACACACACACACACACAGCACCATGACACTCGCGCGCGTCAGCACACGCATCACCGCACACGCACACAAAAGAGCGCACGCACTTCTTTGGTGTAGGACTGGATGGTGCGGACGCCCTCGCGGTCTTCGAGCTCGACGAGGCGGTCGTGGCGGTCGGCCAACTCGGCTTCGGCCTCGTCGGTGACAAAGTGCGCGGCGAGCCGGACCGGCTGCTTCTTGTACAGACCCACCATCCCCGCCACCGCCGCCGCATCAAAGCACGCCGTACCCTGCGCGTCACACACACACACACACGACACACTTGTGAGTGCGACCGCACACACTCAACCGCACACGCATCCGCACACGGACCTTGTCGAGAAGCTTGACGAGGGCAAAGAGGAGTTCGGTGACGAAGGCGGGTCGCTGGCCGCCGAGCAGCCGCTTGTGGAGGAAGGCCTCAAAGGCCGCGAGCCAGCCGCCGCCGATCGGGTCGGCCCGCGTGGCCTCCAGGATGCCCTCGACCGTGGCCGTCTGCAGGAAGCGCTCGACCGCGAGCTCCACCGCGCGCGACTCCATCAGCACCTCCTCGAACCCGAACGTACGGTGGTGCTGCTGCGCCTCCTCCGTTCCCTGATGCTGGCCCAGCTTGCTGCTGCTCGGCTTCTCGCCCTTTTCGCCTTTTTCGCCCTTTTCGCCCCGGGCGCGCTCCTTGCGCTTGCTCCCGTTCTGCTTGCGCTGCTGGCCGTCGACAGAATAGTTGTCGCCCTTCAGCTCAGCGCCGCCGCCGCCGCTGTCGTCGTCGCCGTCGAGGCCGGCAAAGTCGGAGTGGTCCTTGACGATGAAGAGCTTGCGGGAGGCGACCTGGGCCTCCCACTGGCGCAGGACGTCGACGGCGGCCGTCGCCCGCGCCACGTCGGCGAACGAGAACGTGGCGGCCACGGCCTCGAGCAGCTTGGCCTGCGCCCGCAGGACGGCGCCCACCCGCGGCGTTCGCTCCGTGTCGCGCTCGCCCGTGGCCGCCTTGGCGCGCAGCGGGACCTCAAAGTGGGACAGCATGAGGCCCGACGGGGTGAAGCCGCCGGCGCGGGTCATCTGGGCAAAGGGCGACGAGGGCGGAGGCGACGATGAGAGCGCGTGCGCGCCGCCGTCGCGGCCCAGCAGGTCCTCGTCTGACGACACGCCCTGGGCGCGCGCGGCC